GAGCTCAGAGATTATCTGGTTTAAACTCATTTTTATGTCCGATGATGATGGAACTTACTTGCTTTGTTTATTCCCATAGGGTTTTTGGTATGACCTAGTGAGATAATAACAATAACCAACACTTACTGAGTTGCTTGCTCTGTGTGTGTGTGTGTGTGTGTGTGTGTGTGTGTGTGTGTGTGTGTGTGTGTATCTCATTCAAACCTCAAACAACCAGCTAGGAGAAGCACTATTGTTATCCTCATTTCACAGATAAGGAGACAGATGTAGAGAGGTTCAATGGACATGCCCTGTGGTAGGCGGCCGGCAAGCTGCGAGGCTCGGCTGCTGACAGAGGGGATTGCAGAGCCTGGCTGCTGAGCCTCCGTGCTCTGTGCCGTCCCCGCTGCAGAAGGTGGTTAGCAGCCGAGAAGGAGGGGGCTGGGAGAGGAGGATCGGAGAGTGCTTTGTAGACTATAAAGTGCTGCATGGACATGAGTTATTATTAGAGAGAGGTAAGGGGTCCCAGGGGAGATGGAAAATGGTATAGGGCTCAGGGCAAAATCAAGGACGACCTCCAGGATGAAATGGCATTAGCTTTTGATTTGGGCCTGTGTTCCTGCAGAGGAGTGAGGAATGCGGGGTGGGGGGGGGTGGGGGGTGGGGAAGGGTTTCCTCTAGCCCTTGCCCATTAGCACAAATGGCAGTCAGATGAGCTAATTGGCACCTTGGCTCAGGTCAAATGATCAGGGCCCTAGGAAGCCTTGGGATCTCCAACCAAGAGCCTAGCTACAGAGCAGGTTGGGGGTGGGTGACAAGAAAAGAATTCTGAGATGTTCTGAATTACTTTACAGCAAGCTGGAGAGTGAGAGAAAGAGACAGCAGTTAGCCTGTTAATCCCTGGGGCCTGGCTGACAAAGCTGCCCACACTCTTAAGTATTTGTTGGAATTTTGAATTAACTTCTAGGTGGCTATTTCCGTGATTATCTGAAAGACAATAGCCAGGTGCCACTGAACCCCAGGAGCCTCCGCCTCCTTCTTACACCTGAATTTTCCATACTATTTCCCACAGACAGTCCAGAACTAGCCCTCTTATCTGAAGCCAGTGTAAATTCTTTCAAAACAACTTAACATCATTCTTCCCCAAAACACGTCCTGGTCAACTCAAAGACAGTGGACATGTTGTCTTCTCCACCTTGCACACCTGCTAGTGGTTTAAAATTCATGCCCCAGGATCTGGTCCTTTTTATGGCCCAATAAATCCTTTTTTTCTTTTTTCTTTTTTTTTTAAAAAAGGCTTTTAGCCATGGAAGTTAAGTTTTTTGTTTACCAGGGAGCTAAAAGGAAGCACAGGGAGTTGGTAGTAGGGATGGGGTGGGGGTCAGACAGCCTGAGTCCAAATCCTGGTGTTCTACCACACTCTAGTTATGAGGCCATGGGCAAACTACATAGTTTTCTCATCTGAAGAATGGGAACTGATAATACTGGTATGTCGTTCAGAGGTTTTGTGCAAATTTAACATGTTAATGTGTGTAAAGTGTTTACTATTATGCCTGGCATACAGTAAGCACTCAGCGAGAGCCAGCTCTTGTTATTTCTGTTATAATCCCAGGGTCCTTGACTGGTACCAAGATGCAGTGAGAAGTGGGGTTAGAAGAAATTAGACAACACTGTCTATCTGTCCCCTTCCTACACCTTAGGTTTTGTTTTTGACAATCGTTAAGATATGCTCTTTAGGGAGAGGCAAGGATTGGGAGGAAGAGGAGATAAAGCCAACGGGCCACGAGCCCTCTGACACTGGGCTAATAGAGGGTTGTCGTCAGTGGTTTCTTGGTTGTCACACTCACTGCTTTCTGACATCCTTCTCTGTTGCTCTCTTGGAATTTCTGAATTCTTGTTAATTAGCCTCCTTCGTCACTTGCATACTATGGATTTAATCTCCAGTCTCAGAGGCAGACTCATTCCTGCAGGTTAATGTCACAACAGAAGGATGACTCCTTCCCAGGACTAGGCTGGGTGAAGGAGCTTGCATGTAGCCATTACACCAGCCCTACAAGGGAAGTATTTTGTTAACTCCATTGTACAGATGAAGAACCTTGCCCAAGGCCATAGTTAACCCATAGAGAAGGGTGTCCAACCCAGATCTGTTCAACATCAAAGGTCATCCTCTTTCACTAAAGTATGTGGGAGGGTTATAGGACTAAAACAATTCTTTCTGGTGTTTGAAAATGACATCTTGCATGCCTTTTGCATAACATCTGAGAAACTCCATTGACTCAGAGCTGGAAGGCCAGGCCTACCTGGCTCAGAAAAAGGAATACTCTTTGGAGGGTCCAGCTAATTCTGTAGGACTTCCCAATCTCCAGAAAGCAAAGCACTGAAGATTGGTTCTGTTTGTTGTCTAAGTGGAAAGTTACAGTTTTTTGTTATCAGTAAAGTAATCTCCATCAGGATATAGCTCCTTGCAGTTATATTTAACTATTGTTCATTTGCTCAGTAGCTTTCTGTCAAGGGGGAGGGGAATAGGTCAGAAGCATAAGGAACTATGCCTGGGCTTTGGCCTTTGGGAAAGCAGCCTTGTCCTGTTTACACCTTCTCTTCAGATTTGCACAACCTGACCACAGATATGTCACCTGCCAAGCCCAGGTAAATATAGGCAGCCAAATACTCTAAAATAAGCAAATGCTATTGAGCAGCTAAAGGATCCTTATACTAGGCAACTGTAATAAATATAGAAGAAAAGAGCAGCTCAAGTCTCCTGACCTTGGGCTGCTGGAGCAGAAGTATATTCCTACCTCGGGGAGGAGGCAGTGCAAGTTCTGAGCCCTTCTCTGGCATGACTCTGGGTCCAGTAACCCTCCCAGTTACATCCTGAATTGAGGTTTCAGCACTAGGATGAATCCTAGTTTATCTTGCAAGGGTGAGAGGAGGAAGAAGGAAGTCTCTTATTCAGCAATGAATAGCTGGATGAATCGTCGGAAAACAAAACTGAAAGGAAGGAGGTGCCTGGGTCTTGATTACCTGCTTCAAAAAGTCAGGTAGAAAAAGACATGCAGGGGAAAAGGCAGTGTGTGTGTGTGTGTGTGTGTGTGTGTGTGTGTGAGAGAGAGAGAGAGAGAGAGAGAGAGAGAGAGAGAGAGAGATGAAGGATGAGAAAATCTGGTTGTTCTACAGAGCCAGGGAAGGAAATCAGTTGGAAGACAGTTTCCAGGTCACACATTTGCATGTATCACTGCCAAGTCCCTGGAGGCCAAAAAGCCTGGGTCAGCATGTCCACAACTGGATTTTCTTCTAACTCTAAAGTCCCAGGATGAAACCGACCAGCTCCCACCTCTTTCCCACCACCTATTTCAGAGACTCCACCACATCGTCTTCAGCCCTCATTTCCAATTGTTTTTGTTTCATATGTTAAGGGGGTGTGGGACAATCTTTGTGTAGGGATCTGCAAACAGGTAAAGTCGTGTTGCAGAATGGAGGAGAGAGTTTGAGAAGTGGTCCAAATTCCCACTGATAGCTCTGCAGCTGAGGTGAAGCTTTCTCCAACTAAGATTGAAATAGTGGGGTTGAAATGAAATAATTTATGTAAACTTGTTCAGCCTAGCCTTGTTCCTTGGGAGCAAATAAATGTATTTGCTCTTTCTCTATGGTAGATATTGTCCTTGGGTGGGGGATGAAGGGGAGTGAGAGTGTGGGGGAGGAAGTAACTTCCATATTGATCATGGACTTTTTGTTACTGCCCCAGGAGCTTCACCATTACCTCTTCTATGGTCCTAGTCCAAGACCTTTTCTCCTAAATGGACTTTCTGTTTCTACTCTTGCCTCCATACAGTGGCCAAAATCATCTTTTTAAAAACATAAATTGTAGCTCATCACTCTCCTGTTTAAAACTCTTCAAATGCCCCCATCACACTTTAAGAGTTGAATTTAAATAGTTTACTAAGGGTTCTTAGGCCCTAACATGACCTGTACTCTGCCGACTTTATCTCCTATGGCTCACTCTGCAGCAGCCACACTGACCTGTTTCTAAGCTCATCAAGACTGTTGGGCCTCAGGGCTTTTGTACTAGCTATTCCCTCTGCCTACAATACTGTTCACGTTACCTGTCCTGGAGGTCTTGGCTGACCACCCACACTAAATTAGCCCTGCTCCATCACTGCATTTCATTTGTTTCATAGCAAATGGTAATGACACTCAAACAGTCTTGTCTGTCATTTGTTTACTTGTTTATTGTGTTTTCCCCACAACATAAGCGCCTGAAGGGAAGGCGCTGTATCTGTCTGGTCTATCACTGAATCCCTCGTGCCAAGCACAGCCTGGCACACAGACCCCTAGCATTCGTTGGATAAATGATCTTTTTAAATCCTAACAATCTAGTGAGGTATGGACAGAACGGAGGTTCTGTTAGGCCAAGGATCAGAGTTCTGGCCTGTCTGAGCACGGGCATCGCCTTCCTTCTTAGGACACCTCGCCTTTTTTCGCCGGAAGCAGTTCCCCTTCTCCCATGTCCTTTCTCACACACTTCAATCCACCTCTCCAGAAAGGGCAGGGCGGACCTCCAGTCCCTCTCAGCCTGGTGCAGAGCCCCTTAAAATCTTCCCAGGTTTTGGAAGCTCAAAGAAGCCGCCCTTTTCCAAATATGGACCCTGCCGGGTACCGCAAACCTCTCCCTGAGCCCCCAGTTAGGGGCAGAGTGGCAAGGGGGCTGGGTCCCCGGCGGGGGGGGGGGGGTGTCTCCGCACTGTTTACAGTAAAATGGGGCGGGCCCTCTACCCCACCGGTAGCAACCGTTCAGTGCCTTCACTCAGTCCCAGTCCTTGACTAGGGATTTCCCCAGGGCCGTGTAGGGACGAGGGGCAGGAGCCGGGCGTCAAGGGCAGTGAGGACATCCAGGCCCCAATTGGGGATGGGCGAATTTCGCACAGCAGAACCTTTCTTCACCAACACGTCGTTTCCCAGCCGGCCGGCTTTGGAAGAGACACCCCACATTAACCGTCCCTCCCGCTCGCACCCGCCCCCTCCCGGCCCTGCCTGGAGAGGCTCGCCTTCCTCGCCGCCCGGAGGTCGGAGCTGCTGCCGCGCTAGCGTTCCGCATCGCTCCAGGGCCCCTCAGGCGCGGAGCTCCGAATCCATCAAGAGTCTCCGGCACGTCTGAGCTCCGGTGGGCGAGGGCTTGCGTGTTTCCTCCAGCTAGGGAGGTCGGAGAGCGGAGGTGGAGGCAGTTTCAGGCCTTAGGCCTGGCGGGCCGGGTCGGGTGAGACGCGCCCATCATTAGCCAAACGGGGCGCCCGCGGCCCTCTTGGGACCTCACCAGCGACCCGTAGCTCTGACACGCGCTGGTCGTACCCCGCAGGAAGGACGGGTCCGGCCTGAGGCCTGGGGCGGCGGCCACCATGGAGATCACCTCGGCCCAGGGCCGGTGCCAGGGGCCTTGGGGGCGGCCCTGACCGTCCTCCTCCCCGCCAGTGCTGGGTCGTGGACGTGCCCCCAGCGGCAGTCCGCCACCTCTGGCTCTCCGCCTTCCCCGGGCCGCGCTGCTGCCTGGGCGCGGCGGCGGCGACGGCGCCCTGTTGAATGGGCTGTGAGGGCCCAGGTTTGTAGCGCTGGCGAACGCGGCCTCCGGGGGCGCAAGGCAGCAGCAGCGGTGGCGACCAAACGGGTGTTGGAGTTGGCGGCGGCCATGGAGGGCCTGGCTGGCTATGTATACAAGGCGGCCAGCGAGGGCAAGGTGCTGACTCTAGCTGCCTTGCTCCTCAACCGGTCTGAAAGCGACATCCGCTATCTGCTGGGCTATGTCAGCCAGCAGGGAGGGCAGCGCTCTACGCCCCTTATCATCGCAGCCCGCAATGGCCACGCCAAGGTGGTGCGCCTGCTGTTAGAACATTACCGGGTGCAGACTCAGCAGACTGGCACCGTCCGCTTCGACGGGTAGGTACATCCCAACTCCAGCTTCCGCTCCCATTTGCGCCGACCTACCACTTCATGGGTCTTACCCTCCCTTACTCTCTTCATGGAAGTATCACTTATCCCTTTTTCTACCTCCTGCCCCATTAATGCCCACCTCATCTTCCAGGGGTAATATTCCATCCCATGTTTTGCTACTCATCCTCATCGGCCCCAACATTTTTTTTCCTTTTTAGAGGTAAATAGCCACACCCTCTCTCTTGATGTTTAATAGTTCTTTTCTAGATAGTCTGTGAAGAAACAATACGAAGCCGGTGGTTGCTTTTTCAGGTTTTACCTTTATCAGTACTGAGGTTGTAAGAGATCAGAAATTAACGAGATCGGCAGTTAACATTGGAGACCTCTGAAGAGTTATTTGGCGAACCAGTTTTTACTCTTTCAAGTTAGTGGTATGATAAACCCTTTGGTGGTTTTGCTGGGGCCTTAATGTCAAAATAAGCCCCTAGAACCAGCAGCAGCTCTAGTCTCTTGAGGGATTGTCAGGCAGCTAGACGTCCCCACTGATTCTTCCCCATTGCCAGGGGTAGGTATATTGGCTGCAAAAATGGCACTAGACTGGGTGTAGGAGATGATACAATTGTTAAATTACATGTTATCCGATGATATTGTGGGGAAGCTTTCTAATTTACTGTTTGTGTTTTTTTTTTTTTTTTTGTGGTGGGGAGTTAAAAAATTCATATTGTCATACTTAAAATTTGGCTTTTGAGTTTAATTGTACATTTTGGGGATAGTGATAATGTTGAATACGGAATTGTCAGATTTAACATTATTCTTTTTCTGTGCCGGGTGATTATAAAGTATTTTACAGATTACAACTGCATGATTTTGCTTCACTGATTGCATTTATTTTTGCTGACTTGTACTAGTACATAAGCTATTCTAATATTTTCTTTTGAGGTAGATGTGGTCCAAGCATAAAGATATGTAGCTCTAGTTTTGGTGATTGAAAACTGCTTGGTTAAAACATGATTAAAAAATCACTTCTTGAAGATGACTAGAGCATTGTTGAATTTTGATGGAGTCTTTTTCTTCTGTTTTTTAGATGAGAGGAAAGTATTTTAGAGTATTACATTTTAATGAAATGATAGTCCATGGGTCGTGGTTAATCTCCCCTAACACCTCTGTAGACATTAAGGAGATTTTTTTTTTCATGTTAACCAAAGATGGCAACCCGATTCATGTTTGATTCCCCGTACTGGCTTCAGTGTCCTTTCTGTAGCTCCCTGCATTCCCTAAGCCTTTTCTGTACCCAGAGGGGGAGCAAAGCAGAAAGACCCCTGAACTTCCAGCACCATTCCAGCTGTATAGACATATGCATCCACTGATAATATGAATCTTGGCAAAAACAGCTCCTGGGAACAGTGCTGCTAATGAGCTTAAGACGACCTATTTGGATGAGGGAAGTATACTGGAGAGAAAACATAGTTTTCTAAAGAATTTGGAAAGGCTTTGCTTTTATTTCTGTCTTTTTTAACCTTCAAAGAGAAAGGTATTTTGAGATGGCAGTTAAAAGAACCCATAATGACTAGAAATTGAGCCTATACAGTGGCATACCTTGCCCACTAATCTGCCCTGGCCTTTGAAATTAAGGGATTCAGTGAGCAAACATTTATTGAACACTTACTGTGTGCAAGGAAGGCTCTGTGGTATTAATTGTGTAGGCAGAGGTGAGTAACATACTGTGCCCACGGTGGAGGAAGACAGTCTAGTGGGCGCCGGGGGAGAGATACTTATCAATGAGTAATTGCAGATGCTGTGCCATTTAGGTTTCTAGAAATCTTCTGGACTACTGAGGGGCACAGGAAGAGGAAGTGCTTAGCTTTGCCTGGGTGAATCAGAGAAGGCTTCACAGCCAGGTGATGTTTGAGCTGAGTCTTAAAAGGATTGTAGAAAGTGAAGAAGAAGGTCAGCAGCATAGTGCACTTACAGTGACAAGTGTTTCAGTGCAGTCGCAGGAAGGGATTCAAGCCAGGGAAATTAAGACAGAGACTGTGGGAGCCTGGGTAGAGGTGGAGGCCAGATGTTGGTGAGCCTTGTATAAAGTACAAGAGTCAGACTGGTGAGACTGAAGCTGCAAGCGTTTCTATCGTTTGTGATTTTGTCTGACCCTTCTTGAATTTATATTTTTTTGTTTATGCATCATTGTAATTATGAATTTATTAGCTGCTATGTTAAAATAGTTTAATATTTATTTTACTTATTAAATGCCTATGATGGGCCTAGCCTTGTGCCACATCCTGTGAAGGTAGAGAAAAAATGTAAAGGTCCTACTTTTGAGGAGCTTACTAATTAATTAACAAAGGAGAATTGAAGTTCATGGCCACCTTTCTGCCCACTCACATGACTTGGTGAGATTATTTTGCAGTTTATCCCAGTCATTCTGGCATTTTAGAACTAGATAAAGAGGGTGTTATTGTAAATGTGATGATTTCACTTTGCACTCATTACAGACATTGTGAAAATGTTAGCCTGAGTGAAGTGTTCACAGTATAAATCTCACTCACCCCTTGGCGGCTGGCTTTTGAGGTACTTAGCCAACCCCCCATCTTTATTAATTTATTTATTGGCCTATTTTATTTTTATATATTTTTTCCTTACCCGAGGATATGCTTTTACTGATTTTAGAGAGAGAGGAAAGTGGGTGGTAGGGGGAGGGGAGAGAGAGAGAGAGAGAGAGGCAGAAATATCGGTGGGAGAGAGAAACATCAATCATCTGCGTCCTGCACACGCCACAACCAGGGATTGAACCCAGGCATGTGCCTTGACTGGGGATCAAACCCGCAACCCCTTGATGTCTGGGAAAATACTCCAACCAACTGAGCCACCCAGCCAGGGCTATGTTATTTTTTTTTAATTGAATTTATTGGGGTGACATTGGTTAATAAAATTATATAGGCTTCAGGTGTACAATTCTATAATACATCATCTGTATATTGTATTGTGTGTTCACCAACCCAGATCAAGTCTCCTTCTGTCTCCGTTTCTCCCCGCTTTACCCTCTTCCACCTTTCGCTCTGGTAATCACCATACTGTTGGTACTGTTGTCTGTGTCTATGAGGGTACCCCTCTCCTCTTAATCCTTTCATCTTGTTCACTTGTTGCACATTTACAGAATGGAATACTGCTCAGCTGTTAAAAAAAAAAAAAAAAAAGGAGCTCTTACTGTTTGCAATAACATGGATGGACCTGGAGAGTATTATGCTAAGTGAAATAAGCCAGTCAGAGAAAGACAAGTACCTATGATTTCACTTATATGTGGAATCTAATGAACAAAATAAACTAACAAAATAGAAACAGACTCATAGAGACAGAGAACAGACTTACAGCTGTCAGAGGGAAGGGAGGTTGCGGGGCTGGATGAAAAAGGCGAAGAGATAAAGCCAAACCCCCGTTTTAGATTCCATTGGCACTTGAGACCCATGGCTAGGTGGGGACAAACAGGTTCTTTGTGCATGCTAATATAGGTGTTTCCTAACTTTCAATTACTTGTGTACCAGCCTCACAATTTTTTTGCCAAATTGTTCATCACCTCTCCTGTTAGTTGCCTAATATTTAAAAAAGTCTCACTTCTTAGCTTTATACTGAACATAGGATCTGTGTAATTATGGGTTTGATATGGAATGTGTTTTCTGTGTGTGTATGTGTATGTGTGAAAGACATTAAATTAACATTAAAATAAAAAAAGTATGTTATGCCTCAAAACTTCTATAATACCTTAGGAACATAAGTGGATTGATTCATTGTAGAGCTTCAAGGGGAAGGGACCACCCACCCTGCTTAAGCTCCACGATGATATTTGAGTCCCTGTTCATATTTTTAGGCGTAACATTTGATACTATTTCACTTATGGCTTAATATGTGAAGGCTAAAATTGACACAGATGAGTATGAATGAAAGAACCTTTAGTTAGAGAATGGGAAGTTGTTAAGAATGTTATAGAAATGGAACAGAACAAAGGCTAGGTGTCATGTGACCATGGAATATTGTGCTGGCTTGAGTTCTCCAGGCTTGATTGCTCTGTGCCAGAATTTGTGGGAACCCCTGTACTATATGTTGGTACTAATAGAGGTTTGCTGATATGGGTGGGAAGAAGAATAGGACCTCTGGGAATTCTGAGGCTTTTTGTTGAGTGCTCTTATTTTTTTTTTAGTCCTTACCCAAGGATATATTTATTGATTATAGAATGAGGTGAGAGAGAGGGAGAGAGCGGGAGAGAGAGAAGGAAAGCAAGGGAGAGAGAAACATTGAACGGTTGCTTTCTATATGTGCCCTGAACGCCCTGACCGGAGATCAAATCTGCAGCCTAGGTATGTGCCCTCACTTGGGATCAAACCCACAGCCTTTTGATGTATGGACGTGCTCCAGTTGACTGAGTCACCTGGCCAGGGCAGCGCTCTTTCTTTTAAAGTCAGTGCTACTACTTACTAATACTTTTAATGGATATCCAGGTAGAGGAAAGGAATGACAGTCGCATTATTACTTGACTTCATTTAGAAAGTCATTGCTAGTATGTATTTCCAGGAACTTTATTTGATCTAGTGAACGATTTTAAGGACTTTGGTTAAAATAAAGTGCTGATTATTTACGTCTAATGAATTTTTATTTCCATTTCAAATACTTGAACCAAACATTTTTATTTCAAATTGAACCAAAAAATAGTTAAGTTTTGTGAACAGCAATGTTATTTTATATTGTGAAGTGTTTCCATCATCTGATACGTACATTTTGTTTAAAAAGGTGAATGAATATCAGATCATAGTTTCTTGATTTTTTTAAGATGAAATAATAATAGAGAGTTTACATTGCAATTTTGGTCTGAGTCTAGAAAGATCATTGTTTTATATAGTGCTTCTCCTATAGACACTAAGTAAATGTTGCATTGATTTTATTACATTTTTATTTTTGTTTGAGGCAGTATATGCTTATAATTTTAGCTGAATTTTATGAACAAAGGAATGTCAGCTGTTAGGATTATAATTCTCTTTAGTCTATTTGATATATTTTTTAGATGTAGAAATTAAAAATTTACTATGGCTAATGTTTCTGAAGGACTAGTCATTTTTTAATACATTGCAGTGATTTTGTCATAAACTATTTAAAGAATTGTAATTGCCTCAGTGAAAATAGGTAATGGAAACTTTCTAGAGGTGCCTGTTACCAAAAAATGAAAAAATGGAAATTATTAGGTTGTACCAGGGAAAGTATTAAACTATGGCAAAAACTAAGGGAAGTATATACTTGTAATTTAATTTTTATTCATACCATTTTTGGAAATTTGAGGTCAGAAAATATGTTAATCAGTTTTTTTCCTCTTTTTTAATTTTTAAAGTGGGGTCATATTTATCTTGGGATATAACTTCCAGAGTTACAGATACTGTATGTGAATACCTATTTTAATGTAACATTTCTTAAATTTTGGGTAGATTAGGTTCATGTTCCTGGCACACAATAATTTTATACTTTTTTTTTTTTTAAAGATTTTAGTTTTTTATTTTCAGAGAGTGGAGAAGAGGGGGCATGAGAGAGAGAGAGAAACATCAATGTGTGAGAGAAACATTGATTAGTTGCCTCTTGCTTGCCCTTAACTGGGAACCTGGCATGCAACCCAGGCATGTGTCTTGACAGGGCATTGAACCAGCGGCCTTTCGGTTTGCAGTCTGGTGCTCAGTCCACTGATTATTGGCTAATAATTTTATACTTGAGTGAAATTGTGGAATTATGTAAATGTATATATTAACTATTTATTTTTTAGTAGATTATAGTTAATACTCGCTTTGGAAATGCTTTTCAAATAGAAAAAAATGTCATGGACTATGATTTCTTACATTTGATGCATTTTATAGTTTCCAAAGTGCTTTTTTATTTTTAATCTCATAAACTTTTTAGTTACATCTGTAAAATGGGCATATTAATAGTACCCACCCCATAGGGCAATTGGAAGGAAGTTATTGTTAGAATTAAATGAAATATATTGTATTAAGCACTTAATACAGTGCTTGGCACATTGAAAATATATATTAGCTATTTGTGTTTATTTAAACTGTTACTCTTTAAGTTGACTTGCTTCCTTTTGTTTTTAACTATACCTATTTTTAGTTAAGGTATAATGTTTAGTAAGGTACATAAATCTGAAGTGTACAATGTGATAAAATTTTAATGTTTACATCCATGTAATCACCCTTTAGATTAATATGTAGGACATTTTTATCATTCTAAAAGTTTCTGCTGTGCCTTTTCTTAGTCAGTTCCTCCCCTCACCCCTCCCAGAAGTAATGATTTTTCTGCCTTCTATCACTATTACCCTTGAATTTCCTATAATTGTAGTCATAGCAGCATACTCTTTTCTGTATAGCTTTTTTTTTTTTTGCTTAATACTATCTGAGCTTCATCCATGTAGTTGCATGTATCCATAGTTGTTTATTTAATGGTTTGTAGTAGTCCATTGTATGAATATGTGGCAGTTTATTTATTCTGTTGATGGATATTTTGGTTATTTCTAATGTTCGATAGTTATGAATAAAGCTGCTATGAACATTTTTGTATAGGTTTACTGGTGGACATTTGCATTCTTTTCTCTTCAATATATATCAAGCACAGAGTTGCTAGGTCATAGGATGGGTATATGTTTAACTTTAATAGTTACTGCCAGTTTCCCCGAACTGGTTGAACTAAATTACATTTCTACCAGCAGTTTTCACCCGCAACGAGAGTTTGTGTTGCTCTACAACCCGGCCAGCACTTAGTGTTGTCATGTCAGTTCTTACTAATTTTAACTATTCTGGTGGGTGTGTATTGGTAACTCCTAGTTTTATTCTGCATTTCCCCAGTAAGTATTTTGAACATCTTTTCATGTTTGTCATTTGAGATCTTCTTTTGTGAAGTATGCTTGTTCAGTCTTTTCACCCATCTTTTAACTGTATTGTTTGCCTTTTTCTCATTGACTTGTCAAATGCATCTGATACAAATGTCTTCTCCCAGTGAGTGGATTCCCTGTTTTCTTTCTTTACAATGTCTTTTGATGAGAAGTCTTTAATTTTAATGTAGTCTAATGAATCAAATTTTTTCTTTTATGGTTATTGCTATTTTTGCATTCTGTTTAAGAATTTGTCATCAACCAAGGGTCATGAAGTTAGTGGATTTTCTTTTGAAACTTTTATTGTTTTGCTTTTTATATTATAGATCTATGCTACTTCTATAATTTTTGTGTGTAGTTTGAGGTACAGTAAGAGTCAAGGTTAAATTTTTTTTCCCATACAGGCATCTAGTTGCTTTAGCATCATTTGTTAAAAAGACTATACTTTGTACCTGAATTTCACTGGAGTATTTGTCATAAATCAAGTAACTCTATGTGTATGAATCTGTTTCTGAAATTTTTGTTTGTTTGGTCTGTCCTTGTGCTATGACACACTATCTTAAGTACTGTAGTTTGTCCTTCAACTTTGTTTATCTTTCAAGACTATCTTGGTTGTTCTAGGTCCTTTACATTTCTATATACATTTTAGGATTGGCTTCTCAGTTTCTACACACATGTGGATGTGTGTGTGCACGCGCGCACACAGTGTGCCTGCTTGGATTTTGGTTTTGATCACATCAAATCTGTAGATCGTTTTGGGGAAGAATTGACATCTTAACACTATTGAATTTTCTAACCCATGAACATGTAATATTTCTCCATTTATGTAGGCCTTTAATTTCTCTTAGGAATGTTTTTTAGTTTTCAATTTGGAAATATACATTTTTTGTTAGACTTATTACTAGATACAAATTTTTCTGATGTTGTCTGGTATGCTTTTTGACAGTGAAAGAAAAAGTTTTGAACCTTATGTATCATCATGACAATAAAAATGTAATAAGTAAATTTTGATTAAACTGAATTGTTTGTAAAAGGTACAGTTGATAACAACTAAAACACATCATGGATGTAATATCTTAATTTTTTATTCTTTAGTTTAAAACATTAACAGTTAAAGAGCATTTATAAAACAAACATTTAAAGAGAGACTTCAGAAACCTAATTTTTTTGAGGTTTATCTGAGGATTCAAAATGCGCAAATATTAAGTGTACAGTTAGGCTGAGTTTTTTCCCTAAATATCCACCCATGTGGCTACTAGCTAGATCGTGATTTAGGTCATTTTCAGTAGCTTTAGGCCTCTTCCCAGTCACTCCTACATCCTCTCACATAGGTAACCCCATAGGTAACTGTTACTGAGAAGGCTTTGCTTACAGACATTTTGTGTCATTATTTGAAACTGAAGAAGTAAATTGCTTTTGAATTATTACAAACTGTTTTCTTTTAATTTTCATCAGAAATAATAGGTGGTGATGTTTTCTCAGTGTTGTTAATTGGGGTTAAACTATGATATTTATATAGGCTTATATTTATATTGGGAGATTATACTCTTTTTCACTTCATGGGAGGTATAATTTGACCTGTGTGGTATGGTGAGAAACTCACTAATCAGGTGTTTAGTAATAAATTGCTCTAGTGAATATTGGTTTTGATTGATCTTATTCTTTAACATGTTCAACTATGTATATTTATTTTAGTGGTTCTAGCACAGTAGAATTAAGTATTTCCAGCAAAAATCTATTTTTAGGATTAATGGTCAGTAATAGATTAAAATGTTGGGAAACTGAGGTTGGGGAAAAATTGGAATGGAAAGGTGGGAAAGATTGACTTCTTAGCAAGCTATTTTTTTTTTTTTAAATCCTCACTCAAGGATATGTTTATTGCTTTTAGAGAGGGAGGAAGAGAGGGAGGGAGAGAGAGAAACATAAACATCAATATGAGAGAGAAACAATGATTGGTTGACTCGTATCCTGACTGGGGATTGAACCCACAACCTAGGTATGTGACCTGTGACCTTTTGGTGTACTGGGTGATCTCCAACCAACTGAGCCACTCAGCCAGGGTGCAAGCTAATTTTATACAAGTAGTGAAACTAGCCCATATTAGATAGTAAGTAAGTGGTGACTGTGAAGCTGCTAAGTCCAATCATAGACCAAAGGTCAGGGAAGATGCCTACTTGGTTTGTGGAAAGTATTAGTTGTTTACTGCTGTTAGTATTTTTTCCCCAGTGGCTTAGTTGAGGAACACACATAGACACACAATATGGACACACACATATATGTACATATTTTTTAAACTTTTAAATTGGAGTAAAATGTATAGAGACAAATGCACTAATTAAAAGCGCATGTTTGTTTAACAAAGTCCCCTGTGTGCTTCCTGCCATTTACTACCTTCCCCGAAAGGTAACCAGTATCCTGACTTCTGACACAACAGATAGATATGTAAATGTAATAATATGATATGTACTATGTTCTGGTGACTTCTTTTCCTCAGCATCATGTTTATGTGACCCATCCGTATTGTTGTAGGAGCAGTAATTGTTTCATTCTCTTTGCTGTAGTAAGGTATAATATTTGCTTAGCTTAGATGATCTTAGGGCATAGTTATGGGCTTAAGAACTTTTCTCCCTAAAGCAGTTTCTAACACAATGTTACTGTAGGGATTGGGTGGCTTTCTTACCGACCTGCTGAGAGAAACTGGTACCTGGGGGACACTGGGAATGAGGAACATGCTGTGCTCTTAAGAGCCTGTGTATCAGCTTGGTGGTAAAGAAGCTACCTCAGTACATTTCCTCTGTCTGAAATTTATTTACTTTTGCTAGTAAAAAGAGAGTGTTTTTTAAAAAAATTCATATACGTTAGTAATAATAGTAATAGCTAACGTTTTTTGAGCTCATACTAGGTACAGGTACTATGCAAAGTGCTTTCTGTAAATTACCTGGTTTTATTTTCACCAAAATTAATGTTTTCCTAGTATTCTGTAGATTGAGGTTTTGGTCAGTAGTAATGAATACATTCTGTACATTTATGTCAGGGTGTGTGGCCTCCATTTTCTAACTCTTTGTTCTTTTCATGAATAATAGGTATGTCATTGATGGTGCCACCGCTCTTTGGTGTGCGGCGGGAGCAGGACATTTTGAAGTTGTTAAACTTCTGGTCAGTCATGGAGCCAACGTGAACCATACTACAGTAACTAACTCAACCCCTCTGCGGGCAGCATGCTTTGATGGCAGACTGGACATTGTGAAATACTTGGTTGAAAATAATGCCAACATCAGCATTGCCAACAAGTATGACAATACCTGCCTAATGATTGCCGCATATAAAGGACATACTGATGTGGTCAGGTACCTTTTAGAACAACGTGCTGATCCCAACGCTAAAGCACATTGTGGAGCCACAGCATTGCACTTTGCAGCGGAAGCAGGGCACATAGACATTGTGAAAGAGCTGATAAAATGGCGTGCTGCTATAGTAGTGAATGGCCATGGGATGACACCATTAAAAGTAGCTGCCGAAAGCTGTAAAGCTGATGTTGTCGAACTGTTGCTCTCTCATGCTGATTGTGACCGAAGAAGTCGGATTGAAGCTTTGGAACTCTTGGGTGCCTCCTTTGCAAATGACCGTGAGAACTATGATATCACGAAGACATACCACTATTTATATTTAGCCATGTTGGAAAGGTTTCAAGATCGTGATAACATTCTTGAGAAAGAGGTTCTCCCACCAATCCACGCTTATGGGAATAGAACTGAATGTAGAAACCCTCAGGAACTGGAATCCATTCGGCAAGACAGAGATGCTCTTCACATGGAAGGCCTTATAGTTCGGGAACGGATTTTAGGTGCTGACAATATTGATGTTTCCCATCCCATCATTTATAGGGGAGCTGTTTACGCGGATAACATGGAATTCGAACAGTGTATCAAGTTGTGGCTTCACGCCCTGCACCTCAGACAGAAAGGTAACAGGAATACCCACAAGGATCTTCTTCGATTTGCCCAAGTTTTCTCACAGATGATACATTTGAATGAAACTGTGAAAGCACCAGATATAGAATGTGTTTTGAGATGCAGCGTTTTGGAAATAGAACAAAGTATGAACAGAGTAAGAAATATTTCAGATGCTGATGTCCACAATGCTATGGACAATTACGAATGTAATCTCTACACCTTTCTGTATTTAGTGTGCATCTCCACCAAAACACAGTGCAGTGAAGAAGATCAGTGCAAAATTAACAAGCAGATCTACAACCTGATTCACCTTGATCCCAGAACTCGGGAAGGTTTCACCTTGCTGCATCTAGCTGTCAATTCGAATACGCCAGTTGATGATTTCCACACCAACGACGTCTGCAGCTTTCCAAATGCACTTGTCACCAAGCTCCTGCTAGACTGTGGTGCTGAGGTGAATGCTGTGGACAATGAGGGGAACAGTGCCCTTCATATTATCGTTCAGTACAACAGGCCCATCAGTGATTTTTTGACCTTGCATTCTATCATCATTAGCCTAGTTGAAGCTGGCGCTCACACTGACATGACAAATAAACAGAATAAGACTCCGCTAGACAAAAGTACAACTGGGGTATCTGAAATACTACTTAAAACTCAAATGAAGATGAGTCTCAAGTGCCTGGCTGCCCGAGCAGTTCGGGCTAATGACATTAACTACCAAGACCAGATCCCCAGAACTCTTGAAGAATTTGTTGGATTTCATTAAGTGACTGGATATGTAAAATTGTTTAATGTGGTGCTAAAAAGTAAAGAACTTTAATCACAGACAATAGAATTATGTGTTCATAAATTCTACTTTTCTTTCCATTACCCTTTCTCCCTACCCATCCTTCCTTAGTTTTGTATTCGGTCTTCTTGCCTCATATGGTAATTGATTTCAAATACACTTTAAACAAAGCCACATTGTTTAGGTGTAACTAATCTAAGGTGTTTGAATATTGGTCACTTAACTATTTTTTTTCTTTTTTAAGGAATGAATATAAAATGTTTATGTAACAACATTTATGATTTGAAGTTCTGTTGAAAAAAACTACCTACAAAAGTATTTCTGTTAAGCCTTTGTCAGCATGTTATCCTTGCAGCAGTTTTGAGGATTCCATGAAGAAAAACAACTAAAAATGAACATTATTAATAATGGGGTACCCAGGTGTTCTGCACATGCCAAACTGCTGTAGGTAGTTTTCACTCTTTCAATAATCATGTGGAGTGATACAGCACATTATAACATCAGGAGGATTAAAAAAATATAGCTGCGGATTAATCTAAAAATGTGCTAATTTAATAATAGGTATAAATTTATAAAGTTAAATCCATTGAAATTGTTGCATTATGCTGGATGGTATATACCAAGTAGTAAAATCTTAAAATAACTTTTCAGAGAGTATTGATGGACTATTTGCCTTTAGGCTTGAATTCTAAAATTCTTTGAAGTCTCTTTTAATGTAGTTTATCTAAATTGTAGCAGTCTGCATTTGACTCAACTCACAAACATGTAAAAGTTATGAATGCTGTGTTTTCTTATGAAACAAATTGTCACATATAGTTACACACTCTATTTTTGTTATTTTTCCCTCTCTTTCCTCCTGTGTGGTATCTTAAAATTTGGAAACTACTTTTCCAGAGGGCATTATTTGTGCCTCCCTAATAAGGTGTGTATGACAGATGAAAGGAACCAGGATGTTTTTAATTTCTTTGACTTTCCTAGTCTTTGTAAGTAGAAAAATAATCACTAGAATGGTACAGGAAATTAAATATTTTTCATGATGAAATAATTTGCAATGCTACTTTGAAAGATAATTTATGTCTGAGAGCTGCAAATTTTTCAACCACAAAATGTCAGTCATTCCGACAGGCTGTACAGAGGTCTTTATTTTATTTTATTTTATTTTTGTTTTGTTTTAATGGCAACATTTTAAATGTAAGACTAAAAGAGTATTCTGTGATTATCTTTTAAGCATCACAGAAATTCAAGTAAAGCGTACACACCTATTTTTATTGATGTTAAAAATGATAAAATAAAATTAGCTATATCTGTATTTTTCTCTCTAGTGCCAAATGAATGCCTTAGCTACTCGTAGTGCATGGTACTGTAAGTAAAGACGTACACTTTTTTTTTCATGAAAAGCATTATAATGATGTAGCAACATCATATATAAACTTAAAACCTGTAAGGTTTCAATTAACACTTTATGTATGGATATTGCTTTGTGAAGTATAAGAGAAAGGTTGCAGTTGGATCAGTATAAAACATAATGACCAAGCCAAAATTAGCACCTAGGGCCTTAAATAAAATAAAGGTACCCCACAAAATGAACTACTTTGAAGGGTGGGAGGGAATGGAAGGGGGAACTTTAAAAACTTTTTCCCCCAAGAATGCAAGATACTTTTACAGCTACTGTAGTTATAGTTTGTGTGTCCTCTTGCTTCAGTTAGGAACGTTTTGATGGTAAATTCTGTCATGGTAATATATTTCTGTTTTTCTAACCTGAAATTTTTACAAGGAAGGTTTTTTAGGATGGTTTAAAGGGAGGTATTTGAATGAACCCTAATTTGAAAATTACTGGCCTTGATCCTCCTGGTGTGAGTCAAGGAAATACTGCACCTTGCTTTTGACACCCCTAGTGGACAGAGAGAAAAAGCACGTCCTCAAGGTGAGTGAATCATGTCTTTCTGCAACTCAGATCGGACCCTGCATTTTTCAGACTTCAAGGCCTGCTTAATTGACAGTCTGAGGAACGGCTATAATACTTGGTATTAAGCTGGTTTCATTAATAATGTATATGATTTTTAAACACCAAAACTTAAAATATCAGATAATATTGCATGTTTTAAAAACCATTTCATCCCTTTGGCAACACAAGACCAACACTATTTTAGATATTGTTTCTTTGTAAAATGAGGATAATGATTATATGTACATATTTAGACATCCAAATCTAATGACACAGTGTTTTTGAGAAAGGAGAACTGAATGCTGGAGAAAGTAAAACTGCTGATTGAAATGCTGACAAAGTTGGAGAAAATTTGAAGACAGTGGAATAAACTATGAACTCTGCTAATGGTAACTGAGTTTTTTTTTTTTTAAACTATAGTAGAGAAGTATGTTGTGCACTATATTGCTAAGGATGTGTGATTCTGTCTTGTAAAATAAATCCAAATATGTATTGTGAAACACCTGTATAAAACCATTCTTGAAACAAGTGACCTACATGCCTGTTTTTTTATTTGTTTTTGGTAGAATTATTTTAAAATATGTTTAGCCAAACCCTTCCCAAGGTTAAGTTTTTTTTTGTTGTTTTTAGATTTTTGTTTAAGGGAAATAAATAGGTAAGAAAGGTGATAGTTCTGTATCTCAGCTTTCTGAGAACTCCAGGCTGTTTCCATTTTCCAGCCAGTTTTGTCATTTTATGTTTCATATTGGTAGGATTAAGCTTTGGATTGTAAGTCTTCCCTGATAACATTACAAATTCAATCAAAACTTCTTTGTCTTGCTCAGTGATTGTCATATAAATTTGGTTGACCTGATGACTACCTGGGCACACACCATGTGAAACTTAGCTTGATTTTGTGTAGAGTTGCTTAAATTGAGTTCTTGAGTTTAGGTGACTATTTAACTCAAGGAACAGGCAGCAACTCCATTCCCTCAATTGATAAAGAAGGGGGATGCTTTTGATAGAACTCTGACACTACCATTTTTTTCAGTCTACCCTGACTTGCTGTAGTAGGCCGCAGTCCAACTACCGTAAGGTTCTTCACTGTGGGAACTTCAAACAAAGCAGGCAAGCTTTGGTCTTGCTTATTTCTGGGAGAGGTTTTATTTCATGATATTAATCTTGATTAATAACTGGTAGTTATGAGAAACTTAGGTGTGATAGCACTGCGTGAAGTAAAAGATGATAAGGGGCAGCGGATGCCTAAATAACTACATTTGGCAAGTGATTTTGAAAATTAAAATCCCAAGGGAACAACACCCTGTCGCCAGTCTCCACTGCAGCTCCTTTATGAATAAGACCATTTTGGAGTATTCAAGCAAAGCATTTCTGTTTTGGGAATGGGGCAGGGTAAGGAGTGAGTTGCTGGACCTTGGACTTCAGTTTGCTGGTTTTAGAAGCAGCCAGTGATTAAACTAGTGAGTAGATGGATAAAAGTATAAACAACTTGTTTTTATGGTAGATTTTCTGTAAAAATCGTAAGTGTTCCTTTTCAGACTAGCCAGATGTACCAATGTACAGATGACGTTCTATTTTTCCTCAGTGACTGTACTGTAACATTAAAATGGGTTACAGAAATCGAAACTCTTGCCTTTTGCTCTCTGACAAGTTAGTTACTAGTTCATAAGATTTTAAGCTGTGTTCAACTGTGAAAGTGCACAGCTGTGCTCCGGATACCCTCTCTGAAAAGCAGAAAGCTCCTAATTATGTGTGGCACGTTGCAGGGCTTTCTCACACATTTCTGGCAGATTTGCCCACATCTTCAGATGGGCTGGGTTATATAGCATCCCCACCCCCATAAATGGGATCTGAAATAAATACTACACTGATAGTGGTGATAGATACATTAATTTTTACAACTGTAAAGTAAATGTGGTCTTTAGTCCTAGGTTTGTGGTGTATTCATTTGTGTTAATGTGTAGGGAAGGGACATTAACTTGATGGTTATGGGGAGTGTATCTTGATGTGTGTGCAGGGGTGAGTATTGCTAAATCATTAACAGCTTTTCATTTAGGGGTGAGTCACGTGATGAATGGCCTAATCAGAAAAATGAAGGAGCGAAGATGCAAGCTTTACCAAGTGATGACGTGAACAAGGTTTTGTATGTTTTTTATCAGGTGTTGTAAAATTTGTGCATGGCTTCTTTTTTGTTGTTGTTACTTAGTAATTGGTAGAGGAGAAAACATGAGGGGGAAAAAAAAAACCTCAGCTTTGCTAACCAATCTTTTCAAAGGTACATAGTTGGGGGGAGTAAAATCTGACTGGCCTAACGTGTTGAAAGATCCCATCCTCTATAATATTCACCCCATCCTGCAATCTTCCATGTAGAGGAACTAAATGGTTGTATTCTAGTAATTCACTGTGATTTATAACAAACCAGTGATGTTATTCTATTGTGCACTTTTGTCAAACCATTTACGTGACTTTAATAAACTTAGTAAACTTGCTGACTGCACCAGAGATCTGTTAGTGATTTATATATTGCATGACATTTTCTGTTCGAGTTTGACATGTAGAATCATTTTTAATTTCATGGCAATTGACAGTCCTAATAGCTCAGCTAATTTGAAACTAACAAAATTGCTGTGTAAAAGGAAAAAATGGTGTTTGTGTTCAGTAAATGTTAAAAAAAAACAACCTACCTTGAAGTTTGTGTCTTTATTGTTCAGTGTTCCTTAGTTGAGATATGTTTTGTTGAATTCATTTGAAAAAAAGTTTTCAAAGTTAGAAATGTGAATTGGGAAAAAATTCAGATAGTAAAGAAAACTTCAAATAGTAAAAAAGACAGAAAGGTAAGAAAGAAAGAAAATTCCCTTTTCATCTCTCTCTGCTTCCCATTTGGAATCTTCAGAAGGTGGTCACCATGACTAGTTTTTTGAGTTGCTTCCCAGAATTTTTCTGTGCATGTATGTACTTATTTTTCTTTTCATTAAAAAAAAAATACAAATGGATTTTACCTTTCTTCCACTATTCTTCATCTTGTCTTTTTCATTTAATATGTCTTAGACATTTTAAAATTTTGGTATGTGTAGATTTAAAAAAACAAAGCTTCATAGCAATTAATTCTATGGGTGGACCTAACATTTATTAACCAGACCTTATTTTTGAACTTTTAGGTTTTCAGTTTATTTATATTCCAAGTAATGCTTCAGTGAACATCCTAATATACTATATTCATAGGACAAATTCATTGCAAGCACTGGAACTTCTGGTTTAGCTACTGACTATTTAAAATCTTTATAGAAGTTAACAAATTGTTTTTTATCTCCCTATACCCTTACTGACATCAGATATTACCTAATGATTTAATTTTTGTCAAGATGATGGATGAAAAATAGTATCTCATGGTTTTTGATCTGTGTCCCTTTGTTATGAATGAGGTCGACACTTTCACATATATTTACTGACGTTTTATATTTCTTTGGTTTTCTCTTGGGTTGTGGTCTTGTTAGACATTTTTTGGAGTTTAAGGAAATTTTCTTTGACATGTCACAGTTTGTAGTTTGTTTTTTGACTTTAAGTATAGTAGTTTTTATAGAAGTTTACATTTTTATGTAGCCAAATTTATCTTTTTTAAAAATGGATCTGAGTTTTGTACTTTGCTTATTGTAAGGTTATCTCCATTTCAAGATCAGAAATCTTTTTCATCTGTGTTTTCTCCTAGGCATTTAATGGCTTCTTCCTCCCACTTCTCTCCTCTTTTCCTTTTCCTCCTCCTCCTCAGGTGGTTCACAAAGCTTGTTGGCAAGATTAGACAAAATCGTATATTCTAATTTGCCTGTGCTCTGTAAATTGGGTGTGCTTATTAGTCCATCCCAAGAGCAGGACTGGGGTTTCCTCCTGCCTCTACAAGTGGGAACAAACTGTTGGAAATTAGTACTTAATAAGCACCAGCTATGTATCAGGAACTATACCAGAGATGTGCATACATGAATAAGAAAGAAGGTTCCTGTCCTTGGTAAGCTCTTTGTCCAGCTAAATGTTCCTATTTGAAATCCAGTTTTCTAGTTTTCCTACAATTTTAATTTTAATTTCCTAAATAAAATTTTATGATGTTACTCTTGACTGTGGCTTGGGACAGTTTCTGAAACATTTTAGAAAACATCATTTGAGTTGCTGCTTGTTTTTTTGTATACTACCCCAGAGATAAGAACAAAGAATGTGAATGACTGATAAGAGAGGATGAATCCATAAAGGAATGGTATCCCATCCTTTCTAAAACAAGTATTTTTCTGCTCATACCCGACGGTAAGCCTCATGAGTTTGCTAGGTACATTTTCTCCTATGTCACATTGAGAAGTTTCAGAGCCCAAGTGCCAGGCTAACTCTGTTCACGGTACACCAGCAAAGCTCCTCTGTGCTGTTTCAGCTTCTGTTTTGGAACATGCTGTCCTACTTTAGTGGAAGCTAATGGAATAGACAGTGACACAGAAGTACTCTGCAGATTTTAATGGAGTCGATCAAGCTTGACTGCCCTTTGAAAAGAGCCTAGTTGATGTTAATACTAATATATGGATAATTTGGGGTTTTTTTAAAATAGTAAGTAATGCAGAATAAAGGGCTGATGGCATTAACTAAGAATAAAAACAAAGGCTAATGTATTGTTGAATGAAAATGGGATCATTCACCACTGAAGGTGATATTAAGCCACCCAAGGCACATCTGCTGGTGGATAGACCTGGCCACTTCTTGTTTGGGGTGAGGTGTGGTTGCCGTGAGTCACTGTGCCAGCAAAGGAGCATGAGTAAGCCAGCTGCTTCTATTATAGGCTGCTTGGCATCTTGGTGCTTGAAGCTAGTGGGACTGACTCAAGTCTAGTGTCTTATTCTGGGGGAGGATTGACACTAAAAGTCTTGAGTACTGATGTAGATAATGGCTTGCATTTTAAAAACCTCTAGGAAAGGCAAGTTCCACACCTCCCAGGAGCTCTTCCACATTTGCCTGGGCAGAGTTACTCCCTTCTGTTGTATTCAAGTGAACACTTCGCTCTTTCCAACTGACATCTGCCAAGTAAAGAAATACCACCTTAACAAAAGGAGAACCCAGGAACTCCACTGTTTGCACTGGAAGGAGGTCTACTGGGGTTTTTTTCTGGGGGTTTTGTCCATGGCTGCCACCCAGATATGACCCAGGGCAGCTGAGAAAGGCTGCACTGTTTAAGACACTGACATTGACAATTAGAGAATAATAGACTTTTATGGGTCTAGATGGCTGGTTCTCTTAAGTTTTAATGTGCTTGAAACTATCTCATAGGTATCTGGTTCGGGAGGTCTGGGTGGAAGGAACTGTGTCGTTTTGAGGTGGTTCTGGGACCCGACTTTGAGAGGCTCACCTCTAGATACATAATCTACTTGAATAAGCACAGTTTGCCCCCTGAGCATGCGTGCCCACATCATCTAATGGCAGAGAGAGAAGCAGCACTGATGCCTGGATTTCTCATTCCCAGCTCTCAGCTGGCCGGAGCTGACACTGCAGTTGATGTCCGTTTCCCTGCAGAGGCCAGAGGCCTCTTTGGAATCTACCCATGGATTGCACCTTAGCTTCTGTATTTTCACGGAGGGCTTACCCCGGCCCACGTGGGCTCTTCCCATGTCAGAGTCAAAGGTGAAACCATTCAGAACGTTTTGCACATCTCATTTCCTAACTTCTGGTTGGAGGTCTTTCTCCTCTACTAGATAGCAAGCCTAGAACTTAAAAAAATCCCCACAATCTATGGGCCAAATTCTAAAACCACCTTCTGTTTGGTAATGTGGTTTACAAGAGTCAGACTTTGCCCCAGGCATGTTTTTCTTCTGTGCTCTTGTTTGTTGCAGATTTGCTTAGGTATCAAGGGGATACCTGGAAGTCAAAGCAGTTTGTCTAAAGAAGTGTCTAGGATGAGCCAGTAATGCTTTAAAAAAACCATTTTTAAGTTACACTTTATGTTAACACTCTTGAGTTCAGCCCTTTAGCTCCATCATAAATAATTATTCTACTAGATAGAACATTGCTAATAATGGATAGAACATTGCTAGTAATGTCCCTCTGTGAACCACAGTATGAATTTTAATGTTGATTTGAGGTTGCATTTTGGGTTGCTTGCCACTAAATGCTAAAATTGCTGTTCATCTTCCATCCCAGACAACAGCATCATCTTCCATCCCAGATAACAGCAAAAATCTGCAGCAAATCCCACTCTGGAGACTTGCTGAAATGAGAGAGTCTTCTAAACTCCAGGCTGGACTTGAGTTAATTTGAACAACATTATGATGAGAGCGCAGTTCCCATTACTCATCACGGAAGGTCATTGGTGCATGTTAACCCCTTGTTTGTTTTCTAGCCTCTACGTTCACAGGTCTGTCGACCTCAGCTGTCAGCACCAGGAGAACTTTGATCTCTTCCAACCAATTAAGTCTTAATCCCTGGGCTGGGCCTTTGCATAGCTAGCTTTTAAAACTCCCAGGTGATTTTACTATGCAGCCAGGCCTGAGAAACTGCCCTAGCGTGAGGCTTTGCCCCTCATTAAGATGCGCCTTCTCTGCTCGCCCTGCCCGGCGCTCTTAAGGCTGGCCTTGGATGTTTACACCCAGAGCAAACACATTTAGAAAGGGAAATTGATGAGAGAGACACACAATGCAAAGGGCTTGAAGATTCAAGCCTCCCATTTTTTCCATCTTTTCACCGTTTAGTTGTTCTCGGGGGAGGGCATGGTGGGACTGTGGAGTCCTATGGATGAAGGCTGCCTCTTGAGTCCAGAGGTTCCAATTCAGTGACCCTGGGCTGCACCTGACATGCAGATAGGTTTTGTTTGGCCTGCACTGTGGTTGCACATGATAGTAAAGAAATTTTAGAATTCTATTCTCCAAGTCAGATTTCTATAAAAAGGCATTTTGAGTTGGTCTTTAACAGGAGACTTGGTGCTTAAACAAAGCACTTTTTAGTGGGTTCATTGATTGTCCAGCAAGGTTGCTATTCATGGAGGTAATGATGCAAATAAAATATGATTTGTAAAATGTCTCCTGATTTTGCTTCACCATTTAAGAAAAGTATTTCCATAAAGAGTTACTTTATATAAATTTCCTTTGCTCCTTCAGTAAGCCCTCCTGGCGCCAGGCTGGAACGACAGGCTGTGGTGAGCGTGAGCTGTCCTGGGATTAATTAGCCTTGGTTTTGCTGTGAAAGCTAGGGCTGCCTCTTAATTTCTCTGGTTCTGAGGGTCCACATCTGTGGGGAAACAAGATGAAATAATTTCTGTGGTTCTACTTCTGATTCTTGGGATTACAATGGCACAGGAATAGAATGGAGACAATTTGGTCTAAGAGCAGAGTGTGTGTGAAGGTGCAGAAACTCCAAGTCAGGCTGTAAGAAGGTCAGCACTGAAGTGCTAGCTTGGGGAAGTCAGGGAGGCCTGAGGGGAGAGCTGGAACAAGGGGGTAGAAGCTACAGTGACGAGGGTTTCAACCATCCTAACCGGCCAAAGATGGGACGGCTGGTCTTGGGAGGAAGGGAGTGCTCTATCAGTAGCGCCATCGGTCCCAGAGCAGGCAGCAACCCTCCCCAGCACTTACAGATAATGGCAAGGAAGCAGGGAGCCTCTTTTTTTTTCTCTCCCTCCCTCATCCATTTCCTCCACTTCAAAGGAGAGTGTATTAGCTACCACAAGCTCCGCCCACAAAAAAGGGAAGTCAGTGCTTTGGTTGTTTTTAAACACTTTTTCTTTCTTAAAAATGTTTACGACAGTAAAGGTCGTACTATGTAACGGGGGACAGATGCCTTTGATGTATCCCCCTTTCATTTCTACCTCAAAACAAGGTTAAGGCATAAATTACTCGGCTTGGGCACCAGGCGTGCCTCTTGTCCTCGCGGCGCCGTCATTGGTGGTACCACTTGCTCCGAAGGCGGGCAGATCAAATATTTGCCACCGAAGGGTGTCCATGCACCGGCCGTATTCAGTGCATTCCAGAGAGGACCCCTCAGCAGCGCCGGCCGAACCCTTTTCCCGTGCGCGGGTGAATGGAAGGGAGAGATGGGAGGCTGTGTGTGCGTAGGGCGGGGGTGATACCGGGAGAGGAGGCTCCCCACCCTCACCCTCGCTCCTGCCCCGCCCCCAGGCCCGCGGGTGGCGGCTGGCTGCGCGGGAAGACCGAAGGGAATGCTGATCCATAGGGAACTGCGTCATCCACACGCTTCCGGATGTACTGGGAACAAAAGCGGCCGGTAGGGGAGGCAGCCGAGGGGGCGGGGCGGGCCCCGCGCGCTGTGGGGGAGTGTGGGTGACAGTGTGAGCAAATGAGGGTGCCTCCCCATCTCTGGGTGGGCGACCTGTATCCTGGGCCCCAGCTGCCTGCCCGTCACAGTCTCCACGTCCCAGAGCCTTTCTTCATCCCTGGCCAGCAGCTGTCATCATTAAGCCCTCGGGCTCCGGGGACCCATCTTCTGCTTGGAGAGGGGTTAGGCGTGACTCAGGAGCCATCAGCAGCGTGGGGGGTGGGTGAGGGGACAGTGCAGAATTCATCTGCCGTCCACTGGGTCCTACTGGAACTAGAGGCCAGGCGTGTGCAGAATGGGTCTGCATGTGCAGTCTTCCTCTCCAGGCTTCTTCTGAGGATGGGGATGATTAGGAATTCCTAGCACCTTAGTGGTGGGGGTAGCAAATGCCCCTGCAGAGCCTGGGGGAGGCTTTGGGGTGTGCCTTGGGAGGGGTCCCTTTATATACCTAGGGGTCTTTGTTGGAGGTGTCTTGGTTTCCCAGTAGGACAGTCCCTCTTAAATCTGGCTTGAGCTCCCTTTGAAGGGAGAGCAGGCTCCGTTTCTCAGATGAGGTCGAGTGCAAAGCGAGCTGGCATCCTCTCTGCCCCAGCTGGGTGGGGCCACCGGCCTGGGCCTGCGTACTGCCTGGACCTGGCCCCCATGGACTCGCGGCCTCCTCAGGAGCCTCACTCCAGCGCTTTGGAGGTAGGGTCCAGGCTGGGCTCCCTCCTGCGCTTGGCACTTTTAAAGAAGCCGAGCTGTGGGGAGGCAGAGGCAGACATCTCAGGAGTGGGTAGAGTGTTCAAAGCCTAGCTCCCCTTCCTGCTCTCTCTCTACTAACCCTCCTCAGGCGTTTCCCTCAGAGGGCTTCCAGAATGCCCCAGCTCAGGATGACAACCACCAGCACCCTCTGTCCCGCCCCAGCTCTATTGTGAGCCTCATGAGGCGTCACTTAATTGGTGAGGGAGCACTGGAACAGAGTGAACAGAGCCTGGGTCTGGAAGCAAGAAGCCATGCTGGGTGAAACGCTCTTCTCTGGGCCTCCTTCGCCTTGTCTGTAACAGGAGGAGGCTGGGACCAGGGCTTCTTAACCTGAGGTTCAGAGACAGTGAAGGGCTTTGGAGGCTTTGTTAACAGCCTGACTTTGTGGGAGACACTCTGGTTGTGTACACTGAGAGGAACTCGGGCTCTCCCCAGGTTCTCAAAGGGACCTACCAAAGGGTGGGAGCCACAGGTGGAGTGCCCTCTGGTGGCCAATTGGTCGGGGTGCTGCTCCCCACCTCCACCCCGTGGGGGGCCCTCACCTTCCACAGCGCCAGAACCAGCAGGGCCAGCAGTAGGAGGCCCCCCAGTGTGCTGCCCACAATGATCCAGATGGGGATCTGTGAGTCTTCTTGCTTGGAGATCTCAAACGTGATCTGCAAGGGGAAGAGGGAGGCCAGGTTCATGGCATTACTGTCCTGGGGCCTGGGTGGCAGCCTGGAGCAGGGCTGGGGCACAGGAGTCACCTGGCCCCTGGAGGGAGGGCTGCTTCCCTGTCCTCAGGGAAAGATGCTAGAAGGCCGGTGGGTGCCACCCAGCCTGCAGAGGCCTAGGAGCTCCCAGCCCCTGCCCGGTAGACACCTGGGGTGAGTGACCCAGGGGATCTGCCTCCTCTTTGAGACATTTTCTGCCTCTGGCCTTTTTTGTTGCTTCCTCATTATCTCCCAAACTTCTAAATGCTGGCATGTCCCATGGATCTGCCCTCGGGCTTTTCTTGATCTAGTCACTCCCTGGTGAGCTCAGGGCCCGTGGTATTTTGAGGGGCCCGCACAAATGATCTTACTTCTTTAAAATTAGAAGAAATAAATAATATAACCTTGCCTGGATTATATTTGTCTTTATATGTACACAATCATGAAATGCTCATTTAAAATAGTTTTTTTCACGGAGGAAGTGGCCCCAAAAGCGAAAGTGCCAGGGCCATGGACGTCCCAGTGCTGCCCTGGGCGAGGTCCGTCAGGGCTGGAACCATCCATCCTCTGACCACTCTCACGCCTCTACAGCCAACCTGGCCTCGGGGCTGAATCCTAGGCTCATATCTGACTGCCCGCTTGGTCTGCCTGGCGCTTTGAACAGGTCCCAAAACAAACTCTCGAACCTACTCCTCACCCTCAAATCTATTCCTTCAATCTCTTTTCCATCAAAGCAAATGGCACCCTCGTCCTTCCTTGCTGTTGCGCAGGCCAGGAACTCTGTATTTGTCTCACACCCCCATGGACTCCATCAGCAAAGTCTGTCTGTTTTACCTTTGAAACACCCAAAATGTGGCCCCTCCTCTCACTTCCAGGGCTACTCCCTGGGCCTGAGCACCCTCAGCGCCCGTCCGCAGACTGCAATAGCTGCCCAACTGCCTCCCTGCCCCTGCCTCAGCTCCCGCAGTCTGTTCCTGGTATAGCTCCCAAAGGGAGGCAGGTCTGTGCTCTGCTCAGCTCAGTGACTCCAGGTCTCCTTCCTCTCACTCAGAATGAAAAACAGGGTCCTTGCCCTGGCCCGCAGGGCCTGCGCTCCCCGGCCTGCTTCCCTCGCTGACTCCTCTCCCACTCCCTCTCGTTCCCTACTGCAGCCCCCCAGCCGCCTGGCCTCCAGCCTGCCAAGCACACCTGCTGAAGGGCCTTCGCATTGCTGTGCCCCCAGCTGGCATGGCTCGTAGTCTCTGTCAGATGTCACTTCACTGGAGAGGCTTCCCCTAACCTCCCTGAGTGACATAGCACCCCCTGAGTCTCCACCCTTCCGGGCTTGCCTTTTTTGCTCTTTTGGCAGACCTCAGACCCTGTATATACATTGTGTATACAGGGGTGGGCAAAACCTACTGCAAAACCTACAAAAAAACCTATCAAAAGATGTTCGTATGAAAAATAATATAATAATAAATAATAATACAAGAATAAACTGTGTTTTGTATTACAACTGTAAGCCTACTTTTGCCCACCCTGTATTTCTGTTAGTTGCCTTCCTTCCCACCTGGACTGTCAGGACGGCTGGGGCTTTATCGGGTTTGCTCACGGCCCTACCTTCAGTGCCAGGAATTGTGCCTGGGGCCGAAGGCGGTGGGGGTGGGGGTGTGTGTGTGTGGAGCGCTGTCAAAGTGTTGAATGACTGACTGACTGAGCCCCGGAGACAGCAAGGTAGAGTCCTGGCCTGGCCATCGAGTCACTATTCAACTTAAGCAAGTCACTGATGCCCCTCTGCCTTTCCTCACACAGCCTCAGTTCCCATGCCTGAAAAATGGGGGCGGTGGTACGTCCCTCACAGATAACACATGAAGTGTCCATTACAATGCTTGGCACGTAGTTAGGGCTCAACAGATCACAGGTCCCTTGCTGCCTTCCTGCCCCCGGCCCCTAGCACACAGCTGAGCCAACAGGGACTAACATCGGAGGTTGCTGGATTTCAGTAAGAGAAGTGAGGCACCCAGGAAGCATAAGGGGGAATTTTGGTGGGGGGGTGGAGTGGGAATGGAAGGAGGAGGAGAATTCATTTGAATTAGTGTGGAGGGTAGGCTAGTCTGTGTATGCATGTGGGTGCCTGTACCGTGCCTCTTCTCTCTTGGTCACCTGGGAAATTCTAACACATCTGTCAAGATTCAGTTCAAGTGAGCTCCCTCCAGAAAGCTCTCCTCAGTTTGACCACCTCTCACCACCCGCCCCCCTGGCCCCGCCCCCGGACCTCTCCTTGTTCCTTTGTCTGCCTGTTATCTTTGTATCCCCTAGGGGGCCAGAATCAACAAACACCAAATGAATGCATGAATGAATGATCAAAAAAAACCCACTCCTTGGGTGGGCCCCCTGCCTGCAGTCCTTGGGCTTTGTACCTGCCAGCCCTGTGCCTGGCACACCCACCGTGTTTGTGATGGGTGTTTGTGTATTTCCTTAAGAGGTGGCTTCCAGCCCATGCCTGCTTTGCTCTCCTTCGTTTCCTGGGGTGCGCCTGGGGCTTTACCCAGCATCTGGTGTCTAACGCTCACCTGGAGCCCAGGTTGGCAGTTTGGGGGCATGGCCAGTGGAGGGCAGCAGTGCCTCGTGCCTGAGATGCCTCTTTCTAGAGGACTGGACATTTCCTCAAGATCCAACTTCTCATTTTCCCAGGACAGCACGGCACAGAGCCCCACCCCTTTCCTAGACCCTGATTCAGCCATTTAGGTCTGTGACAGCCTGGCTTTACTCAATAGAAAAAATTTCAGTATCAAGACATCTTGCATCCCTGGGCCTTCACCAATTCAGTTCGCACCAGACATGTAAAGCACAGGTCACATGTATTTCATTGGATTTGAGGTGCGAATGGATGGGGAAGATAAGGGTAGGAAGGTCATTCTAGGCTGCCAGCCTGCCCAGGACACAGCGTCACTGCTGCTGGAGCCAATGAGCCACCCAGCAGCAGGCTGCCCCGGGCCCCAGTGTCCGCTTCCTGTGGTGTAAAATGAGCAGGTTCCCCTCCTTTCCTTGGCCCCTTTGGGGCTGTTGAGGTGCAGAGCCTGGGGTCCCTGAGGCACCGGGCAAATGCCTACTTATGGCAGCCTGTCCACTTTTGCTCCCAAAGGCCTATTTGTCTTGCTTTTTTTCTCCTCTGATGCTGCACTAACTGCTGGCAGGTCTGCCCATCTCTCTCCTACAGGAACACACAGCAGAGGGTGTAGGAAAACTGTAGGGGGTGGGGTCACCCCTTCCCAAGCTAGCCTGGCTCAGGCCCAGGTCTGCAGGGCTCACCTGGCGGCTGGGATCCTCCTCTCGGAAGATGAAAGGACTGTGGAACTGTCTCTGCAAGGCTGCGTTGACCGTGATTTTCATCAACTTGTACTTGAGCTGTATAATCAGAGGCCTTGTCAGAAGCGGGCCCCTCCCCAGGTGGGAGTCTCCCTGGCACCCACCTTCTTCCCGTTTTCCTGCCAGCCTAGCCCAGGTGCTGTACTTACTGCTTTTAGGGACCGCAGCCACAGGTTCCCCAGCAGATGGAAATTGACTTCCTGGTTGGGGGCCAGCCTCACGTTGCAGTGGATGGAGACTACATCAGAGTTGCTGTGATTCTGAAAAAGAAGGTGAGTCTTGGGGGTGAGCAACCAGGCTCTAGGGCAACAAGGAGGCAGACACCGAGCTATGACCTGAGAATGTGAGCAGGTGCTTGGGCCTCCAGGGAGATGGCTTAGCTGTGCTGCTAGATCAAGTGGGACTTTGTTTCTGGGAGTGGAGGAACAGAGGACAAGGGACAAGGAGAGAGGTGGAGGTGGGGGACGCATTGGCTAGGGGTGCCAGGAGGTGGCTGGAGGGCAAGGTGAGGATGGTACAGCCAATGCTGCGTTTGAAGTTGTGCATAATGGGTGTATTCCAGGAACAAAATTTTGGTTCAGCGTTAGGGAACCTATAAATGTCATTACCATACAAACAAATTAAAGGAAAAAATTAGATGATTACTATAACAAAGGCAGAAAAAGCATTTTAGGAAATCCAACTTCAGTTTATGATAAAAACTCTTGAGGAACTTCCAGAATCTGAATAAAAGGTATTTATAAAAAACCTATGGTGAGTATCATATTTAATAATAAAAAAATTAAAAACAATTCCTTTAAAATCAGGATCAACAAGACTCTTTATTTACCATAACCCTGGCGGTCCTAGCCAGAGCAATAAGACAAGAAAAACAATTTATATGGATTGAATGGTAAAGTTAAAGCTATTATTATCAGCAGATGATGTGTCTTAATGGAAAACCCAAACAAATCATCAAATAATTAGAAAGTATTGGGATAAAGTTATCTGTGTCACTCTTTTGCATCCATCTCAACCCTATCCAAACCCAAGTCTTCAATAAAAAGCACTACCTTTAAAAAATGCTTGTGTGAAGCACCTGTTTGGGAAAACCAAATAAAACAGCTGAGATTTTTGTCTGGGTAAGGAATAGAGAAAGCATACACCAAATACCTATCTGAGGATAGAGGCAGCTGTGAGAACTAAAACCTGGAAACCAGCAGGGGTCTGAGGGAGGGCTTTGGGAATTGGAGCTGAGCTGCCTTTCATTTCCAGGAGGCAGGGAGATCCCAGTTGATGTGGTCAATGTCTCTAATACAAGTCATGTATGTTCTGGCCCCCATAGTGAGGCTCCGTCTGGCTTCCTCCCCTTCCCTCTGTTTATCTGTATCCCATGGCTCTGTTAGGCTCAGGTGCAAGCCCACTAGCCACTGCCACCTTCTCCTCCGTCTTTTTTACTTTTTAACTGTCTTCATCCATTCTCCCACCCCCACTCCCTGCCTCTGGTTATGACCAATCTGTTCTGGGTATCTATAAGCTTATTTTTTTAAGATTCCACATATAAGTGAGATCATACAGTATTTGTCTTTCTCTGTTTGACGTACTTCACTCGCATAGTGCCCTCAAGCTACATCCATATTGTTGCACACGTCAAGATTTCCATCTTTTTTTTTATGCCAAATAATGGTCTATTGCATATATATATATATACCACAATTTCTTTATCCATTGACAGAAACCTAAGTATTTTCAATATATTGGTTGTAAATAATGCTGCAGTGAACATGAGGGTGCAGATATTTTTTGAATTTAGTGTTTCCATTTTCTCTCACTGTTCTTTTCCTGGAGTCGGTGTGCGCCTGTCGTCCATCTCTCTCCTACAGGAACACACGTATCACAGGCTTGCTCCCTGCCTTCTTAGGCACACAGTCTTGTGTCTCCTGAGAGATAATGAGTTCACTAAGGGCAAGAAGTATCTTTTCCTTATTCTGTTTTTCCTTGGTTTGAGGCTGGGCATATCAGTGCTCAACACACTCTTATTGACCGACTCTGGGCTAAGGAGAGAACTAGCCCCCGCAGCTCCGGAGGCAGCACTCTTCTTCCCCCATCCCCAGGGCCCTCGGTGTGGGGGCGCTCACCAGCTGTGGGGCATGACTCAAGTCTTCCTCCATCGGGGAACGCCGGTACTCAGTGCTGTTTCCCCAGACGTTACAGGAAGTGTTCACCTGCACGAGGAGTACACACAACTAGTTTCACAAGCATTCTGGCAAAATCAGCATCTGGAATGTTCCTTTCTCCTCCTCTTCCAGAGAAGGCCCAGCTGGGCCTGGTTTTGGCAGAAGGAGCTGGGGTCTGAGGACTTGGGACACACCTAGGGGTATGTATGCCTGTCTCCTTCCAGCCCCCTCCCCTCGGCCAGCTCCCAGAGGGCAGCAGTACCTGGTCTGTGAGGAAGTCCCTCAGCATCAGCAGGCGGTTGCCACCCCTGGTGGCGATGGGCACGGTGATCTTCATCATGACTCCGTGGACGGGGAACAGGCCCAGGTTTTGGATCTGCAGCCGAGAGGGACGAGTCCGTGCATCAGCAGCAGTTGGGGGAGGGGAGGTGGGGAACAAGGTCTGTAGGGGCCAAGCAGCCCCTGGGGGCTGTGATCCCCCAGCAGGGCTGGGAAAAAGGCCCCTTCCAGCCCCCTGGCATTTTCACTGTGGAAGCTTTGAGGCTCTGCCAAATCACTCTGGGGGCTGCAGGGATGCCGAAAGGGGTGGGCCCTTGTGAGCTGGGGACCAGTCAGTGGTGGGGGGCATGAGCCTGGCAAGCAAGGGTCACTTCCATTTTCAGTTCCTCTTGGCTCTGGGGGGTTTTGTTGCCTGGCACTGGCGGCCACCCTGGGGTTGGAGATGGTGACAGCCATTAATTTACTATAAGAGATAATCATTAATTAATGAAGGCTTTGAATAGTGTGCGATAGTTCACATTCCAGCTGTGACACATTTGGTATTAGAGCCACAGTGATAAAAAGGAGGACTCTGAAATCAGAAGGGCTGGGACTATAACTTGGGGCTGCTGCCACGCGTGAGCTGTGTGGCCTTGGGCAGATGCCTAAACCTCTCTTGGACAAGTCTTCCAGGTCTCAGTGAGCCTGGTGTGCAGTTTCCAGCTGTCCCTGCCCCCGGCCCTCACACGGCAGGTCGGGGTGGGGGAGACGGCAGGGCCCACTGTGGCAGACATTGCTAAGCTGCCTACTCAATCTCCTTCTCCTACCATCCTTAGCGACAGACACCAAGGCAAAAAGGCTCAGTTCCTAGGCTCCCTTACAGCTAAATCACAACGTTCTGGACAAAGTGGGAAAAGGCCAAGGAGTTCATTCCTGCTCTTTGTCTGGAATGAAAACATGATGGCTGGGCTGCAGCCATCTTGGACTGTGAGGTGGACTTGAGGTTGATAATTGCATGTTGAGGACAGTGACACATAAAGACAGGAGACCCAACCCTGGATGACTTTGTGAAACTGCCAGCTCTGGACTTCTTGTATGGGAGAGAATGAACCCTGTTGTGTTTAGATCACTGTTAAAAAAAAAAAAAAAAAAAAAAAAAAAGGAATGTCTTGACTGGCATGGTTCAGTGGGTTGGGCATCACTCCACAGACCAAAGGGTTGCTGGTTCAATTCCCAGTCAGGGCACATGCCTGGGTTGCGGGCCAGGCCCCTGGTGGGGGTGTTTGAGGCAAGTGATTGATGTTTCTCTCACACATTGATGTTTCTCTCCCCCTCTATTTCTCCCTTCCCCTCTTTCCAAAATAAATAAATAAATAAATAAATCTTTAAAAAATTAAAGATAATATTATATGCAGTCACACTTAATTTTCACTGATACGCTCTCCCAGTCTAGCCCTGGTATTTTCCCGATGTAGGCTGAGAGGCCCAGAGAGAGGAAGCGACCTGCCTAAAGTCATCCAGTGGGTGGGCGGCAGGGTTAAGGTGATCCTGAGCACTGGCAGTGATTTCAGATTCCTCCCCGCCTAAATGCGGGGTCTTCACCTCCTGGCCTTCGCCCTCTGCCAGGCTCCCCTCCAGTCTTACCTTGAAGATGCAGTGGAAAGGAGGCCCAATGCCATCATAACTCTCCAGTGAGCTATTGGGCTTGACCTCGTAGTGGCTCAGACTGCTGCTCCTGCAGGGACAGAGGACAGGGCCGCCGTGAGCTCACTCAGTGTTGGCTAGATGGATAAATGAATGAAAGAGGGTGTGGGCATGGGTCTGTCTCCCCCTAGACCACAAAAAAATAGGTTTCCTCTTGTGTCCATTGGGAGCGCTGTGTTGGGAAGGCGGGGCCCAGCAGGAATAAGTGCTGACAGCCATCAGCAATGTCTGCCAGGGGTGCCGGACGGGCACGAGCCAGAAGCGCCAGTTATTTGCCAGCCATGCCCTAGCCTCTCAGGCCAGGGGCATGGCCTCTTCTGGGCCCGAACTTGCCCACTGTGCCCCATTCCAGCCTCTAGCAGCAGTCATGAGAGAGCCTGAACTTGCTTCCTGTGTGTTTGCTCTTCTGCTCGGATGCCTCCGTCTGCCTGGGAGCTCTCCCAGGACAGACGGGGGCCAGTGGTGCACCCAGGGGGTGCGGGCAGTACGAGCGCCCTGTCCAGGGAGGGGCATTTTCTCACTCACATTGTTTAGAACTGCTGGGGAGAGGTGGTAATGAAAAGCAGAAGAACTTTGTAGGTTTTATTACTATTTTAAAATTCTCCACAGATCATGCCTTACTTATGGCCCGCACCTGGGGAGGACAGCGCCTGCTGCCCGGCCCTCCGCCTTTGTCCCTGCCGGGGCGGGGCGGCGGGGTGGGGGGGTCAGGTCCGCACCTCCTCCTTCCTCTGTTTTGATACCATCTCCCTACCGTGGATCAGGGAACTGCACCCTCTGACCCCCCAGGGACACACTTGGCTGCACCTCATAGTCCCTTAGCACTGGGCCCGGTTCCCGGGGCCGCTGACCCTATCAGGGCCCCCCAGAGTGTGTCCCATCTTAGGCCTTGCTCCTCCCATGCCTCCTCTGCCCCAGGGCCCTGAGGCCCCGCCCACCTGGTGAAGAGGATGTCGGCTTCATATTTGAGGTGGAAGCGCAGGAGGGCCGTGTTGTCTTCCTTGGTGCTCTCCTCCTCGTCGCTGTCACTGCAGGGAGAGCCAGGCAGCGCGGTGGGGAAGGAGCCTGCCCTCTCTCTGCCCAGCACCCCCAGCACGCGGACTGGCTCCCCGCATGGGGGCCTCGGTCAGACTGAGAAGGACCATCCTTGCCCCTCCAGGGCACAGGGGCACTAGAACAGGAGGGGAAGGGCTGGGGCATCCAGGGAACTGGTGACCTCAGCTTTTCTTTTTAGTATTGGTTGATAAAATTATATAGGCTTCAATTCTATAATTCATCATCTGTGTATTGTATTGTGGGCTTACCACCCCAGGTCAAGTCTTCTTCCATCGCCATGTATCCCCTTTATTCTCGTCTACCCCATGCTGCCTTTTCAAGTGCAGCACATCTGGGCTGGCGTGGGGCAGGAAAAGACTCGGGATGGAAGCTGGGAGGACCGTGCAGGCTTGGCCATTAATTTCAAGCCTTTCCAGCTGAGCCCCTTCCTGGGCCTGAGGGGCAAATCCTGTGCTGTGGGCCTGGAGGGAGGCGATGCCTTTGGGACAGAGGCTGCCTGCTCTGCCCAAGTGAGGGGGCGGCAGTGAGGCGTTCTCAGTGCAGCAGTGGATTTGTCCTTGAAGCGCAGCTCCGGAGCTGACAGGGTGGGGGCAGCTCCCACCGGTTGACTGAGGTGTTTTGCTGCCTTGAAAAGGCTGGAGAATGAACTTAGGAGACGTTTGGAGGGAGTTTTGTCAAATGTGCTGCCCTTTCCAGCACATGAATGAGCAGGGAAAATAATTTCAGACATAAAAAGGTACGATTTCCTCTTGTGACATACACTGAGTTGTATTCTCTTCAGGAGCCTTACCCCCCGAGGATAGGGGTTCAGTTAGAAAGGGGGCACTGGACACACACAGACACTGCAGTGTCTCTTCCCCGCACATGCCTGATTCACAAACACCCACAGCGGTGCAAAGATACCACTGTGCAAGCGCATTCATTTTCCTGTGAGAACAGGAAGAGCATGAGGGAGGTCTAAAGATATCAGTACATCTTACAAACTTTGCTTCACGTCAAATGAGAATTCCACCCAAACACACGATTTGTTTAACCGTGGCACAGGCTGGTCTGTGGGTCCCCACTGCTCCTTCCTGTGACCTCTGACTGAGCGTGTGTGAGTGTGTGAGTGCACATGTCCGCATGTGTTGGAATGCTGTTCGGTTTGCCTTCAGTGTTTATTTCTCAGCATGGGAAAGTTCTCAGGAGGGTTTTGGGCATTTACAAGGCTCCAGAGTTGGCAGATCCCTTCCCCTCTCCCTCCCTTCCCACACAGAGGTAGTTCTGAGAAAAAGAAGAGTGTTCACTACTGACACAGGGTGACGCACAGTGTCAACCTATAGCAAACTCCCTGGGAGGGAGACAGACAGACAGAGAAACAGACAGATCTACCTACATAGAGTAAGGGAAGCTCTTTTAAAAATGGAAACATTTCCAAAGGGAGAGAGGTGACCAGGAAAGAAAGAGCCCTGGACAAGGAGTAGGACAACTAGTGTTCAGCTCCCAGTTGCATTATTTACTTGCTGTGTGTCACTGGGAAATTCACTCAAGTTCGCTGACCCTCCGTTTTCTTCCCTGTCACTTGGAGATGGGGTGGGGAGTAACTCCTGCTTTACCTATCTTAGGGGGCTGCTGTGAGGACTGACTGAGATATTATATGTACAGTGCTTTTTAAGTGTAGGGTTTTTAAAGAGCTGCTGTATTAAATACGGCATTATTTACATCCAAGCTGCCCAAGAGCGATCGGTGGCAGCTAGCAGGCAGCGGGTTGGCCCAGGTTTGGGGACTGACCAGGGGCCCTCCCAGGTTGGGGCAGTTAGGGACAGGGCTTGGTGGGAGATTCAGTGTGGGGAGGGGCAGAACAGGGCCCACGAGACGTGTGCTGGGAGGGAGAAGGGGCAGGCAAGGCCCTGACCTGCCCGCTGTGAGCTGGATCTCCAGGTGGTGCAGGAAGACGGATTTGCTGAACTCGAAATCTAGACGGAAGGCCACCTGCAAGGAAGAAGTCACTGGAGCTGGGGCGGCTGGGCACTGCTCGTGTGGGCATTGCCTGGACAAGCGCTGGCCCACCCCTCCCAGTCCCCCGCGTGCTTGGGTGAGCCCTGCTGGCTGGGAGGGGGCTGCGGGAAGGGAGCGGCTGGGCCTGGCGCTGCTGAGGAGGACACGCCCAGACGGCAGCTCCTCTGACAGGATTTCTGGACGGTGGGGCAGGCCGCCTGCCTTCCTCCTCCTGTTTTGTTTTTAACTATAGGCAACTAGAAGGCAGCAAGTTCACCTTCGGATTCTTCCTGCAGGATTTTCGCAGGGAGGGCTTGCTGGCGGGAAGGAGAGCTGGCTGTCACTGTGCAGCCGAGTGCGTGGGGGCTGGACACGAGAGGAAAGAGGCCCTCCCAGGCCTTGTTCTCGTGGGTGATGGGAGGTGAGGCCTGAAGAAGGACGATGGCTGCCCAGGGGCCGCCCAGCAGGTTAATAACCCCTCCTGCCCCTCTGAGGGCTGCCTGTGTCCTCTGCCCAGGAGTGGGCCTGGGGCATCTGGGGTCTGACCCTCCTGGAGTTTCCCCAGAAGACGTGGGGCCAGGGTAGGGGTGGGGTGGGAAGCCTGTGCCCTGTGCTGCCCCCGGGGCTCCACTGCAGAGCCCCTGGGTCGTCAGAGCTGCACCCTGAACCACAACCTTGACTTGCGCTCCCCTGGGAGGTTCCTTGAGCCCTCATCCCCCTGCCACCAGGCCTCCTCCTGGTCCCCAGCCTGGCAGACCTGCTCTCTGGCTGGCTCCTGCCTAAGCTCCCCTCTGTCTGGTCCCTGCTTTACAGGAAGCGTGGCCTCAGTCAGGTCTTCTCTTGCTCCAGAATCTTCAGTGGCTGCTCACTGCCCAGGGGGCACGGGCAAATGCCCCTGCCATCCGGAGTCTCCCTTTTCCCTCAGATTTGCTTCTCCCTTCACTTCATGCCGCTTACGCTCTTGTCAAATGCACTTTTATGCACGTGGTAGGTGCTTGAGAAACGGTAATTTTTCTCCCCATTCATGGTTCAATGTCAGAGGCTGGACATCTAGTTTAAAAGAGCCTAGAGGACAGTGGGATAAGGGGACGAGAGTGGGGGGCGGCGGGAGTGGTAGGACTGCCCCGAGGGGCGGGGGAGGGGCCCGGGGCTCTCGCGGGGAGGGCTGCCCGCTGCCCTGGGGCTGGCTGGCTGGTGAGAGCGCTTGAACCTCTAGGCACAGGAGAAAAAGCTTCAAACCCACCCTCAGGCCTCCCCATCCCTCCCGTCTGCCCACTCATTTCTCTTGCCTCCCTGGGCCTCCCAGTACCCACCCTGGTCCCTCCCCAAACTGCCCCCAGCCCCAACCTTGGCCTTGGCCCGGAAGAAGGGGTAGCTGACATTGCAGACTTTCTTGTGGAGTCTCTTCTCCTCGTTCACACACTCAATGCTGCCGTCGGAGTCGTCCTGTGGGGGGAGGGGGGGCACGGGGCAGCAGTTCGGTGGGGCCTGAGACCCGGGTGTGGGGGCCACCCTCACCCTCCACTGCCCACCCCGGAGCTGCAGCAGAGGCCTTCTGAGGCTGGGGCCGCAGGGGCCCTGGGGGCTCAGGAGTGGCCGCGATGGGGGACCCGCTCAGGGCTGCTGGGTTGCGGAGCGGTCAGGCACTCCCGCCCATGCCGTCCCTTCCCCTCCGTACCAGCCCGGACACAGCACTCATCGTCTCGCTTACAGCCGGGGACACTGAGGCCCAGAGACAGGAAGCAACGAGCTCAGACCCCCCCGGAAGTGGCTTCGAAGGCTCCCCAGACTGGCTCTTCTGCCTCCCTCTGGCTTTGCAGCCCTTTAATTGACCACATGTCTTTCCATCAGGATTGAAAAGGATCTCTTTGAGCCAAGAAATGAGGCTTTTGCGGTCTTGTACGACTTTGTAATCCAGGATCCCCGTGGGCAGGCGGGCAGGTGGGCAGGCTGTGGGCTGACCCCCGGTGGGTAAGTGTGGGGGGTTTTTCTGAGGCCCTATTCTGCCTCCCCCAGCGCAGGGCTGCTCCCCTGTCAGGAGGCCCCCTGAGCCCCTGCTACCGCCAGGCTTGCAGGCAGCGAGTGCTGCTTTCTCTCCTTTTCCTGTGGCTCCGTCCCTCGAAACTCTCCCACCAGTGTCTGGTTCCAGGCTCTGAACAGCAGGTCACCCACGGGCAGGACATCGAGAAAAGGCTGACCGAGGTTAGGGGAAAATGCTGCCAGGCTCCCCAGTGTGACTGGGGCCCTGCTGGGTTAGCGGAGTGTCCCTTGAGCACAGGTCCAGAGGGAAGGGGCTCACACACTGGATTCCAGCTGGATGCTGCTGGCTGACTGTGGACTCATTTGCATGGGTCTCATTTTGCTCAGGTGTTAAATGGGAATGATAATACCTATTGCATTTAATTGTTCTGTGGATTAAATGATACAACGCATGTAAATGCAGGGCCTTGTTCAATGCCCAGACTTGTGTAATCACCCCATGCACGGCAGCTATCACTATGGGGGTTATTTGTACCTGTCATTGGCTCTGCACTGTTGGGCACAGCCTGGGCACGTACATGTGTGAATGTAGAGGTATGTCTGTGTAGACTGTGTGTGTGGGGGGGTCTGCACGTGGGTACATGTGTGTACGTGCACCCAGTTGCATACATACCTAGTATGTATGTTCCCTTGGATGTATATGTATGTATAGGTTTGTATGTTTTTGCATGTGTGTGTACAAAGTGTGTGTGATAGACTAACACATCGGTACTTGGCTGAGGGGGTGTTTCCTCTACTACAGCTTCCCTTGCCCGGATGGTGGGGAGGGGTGGGGGCAGACAGCGGAGGGGCGTGCTAATCTCCAAGCTGTGAGCATCTTCTGGGCTGGGGACAGATGGGCAGCATCTGTGAAGGAGCCGGGCTGCAGGCCAGCCCTACCCACGACCTGCTGTGCGTGCGGACACAGCGCTTTACAGAACACATTTCCCACTTCTCTTTCCCTTCAATCACTTTCAGAGCCCTTCTGTGCCACAGAGACGAAATCCCATGATTCCTTCCTTCTGGGGCTGTGAAGAGGCACAGGGCTGCAAAATCTGGGCCAGGGGAACAGGAAAAAGTGGCTGCATGTTTGGGGCCCAGTTTCCCCTAAACACCTCACATCCGGACAGATACAAAATATATGGGCAGGAGAGGGCCGGGAAAGGCCATCGGATGGGCCCCTCATGGTCACTCAGGGTTGCGGGGGAAGGTTGGGTGGGGGCCCAGAACTGTGCCTGACAGAGGAACTGAGCACAGGGGCGGTGCTGGGCAGTGGCTCGGCAGTGGAGGTGAGGACAGAAGGGTACTGACCCCGGTCCCCGCCCTCCACCCTGGGCTCCACGTGGCTACTTGGAGATTCGTGAGAGCAGAGACTATGTCTGAGGGGACCAGGGACCCTCACCCCCACCAGCATCCACACACGACAACAATATCTTAGTTTAAATCAACAAACATGTCTTGAATGTTTTCTATGTTCCATCCCTGGCTTGGCCCTGGGGGCAGATGTGGCCAAGACAAGGCACTTGCGCCCCAAGAGTTCAGGGCTACAACAGGGCAGCGTTCAGACACTGGTGATCTTCTTGGATCCCACACAGGGCTGTGCCAGAGAGCTAGGCGGGGCCTTTCGGAAGGTATCGCATAGAGCATGACATGAGGACTAAGCCCTTGTCCTGACGTGCAGGCTCAGGAGCCAGCTGCTGGGTGTGAATCCCACTCACCTATTTACTAGCTGTGTGGTCCTCTTCAGACCTTTTAACCCCTCTCTGTACCTTAACTTTCTCCTCTGAAAAACAGGGATACTTCTACCACTGCCATCTCCACCTCCATCACCGTCTCCACCACCATCACCACCACCTCCACCTCCATCACCTGAACCACCATCACCACCACCTTCACCACCACCACCTCCACCTCCACCACCATCAACATCACCTCCACCACCTCCCTCAATATTACCACCACCACCAACTCCGCAGCCACCACCACCAATTACCACCATCACCACCACTACAGTCATCATTACTAAGAGGCAAGCACAGTACCTGGGCATTGTAAGTGGTTACTAAGGAGGGGGCATAGGAGGGAGGGAGTCCCAGGCAGGGCCTTGCTGTGCTGGGGAACAGCGTGGCTGGTGGGGCTAAGGGTGTGGAGGTGAGTGCAGAAGTGGCAGACGGCGGGTGGGGAGGCAGGGAAGGGCTTTGTATTCCATAATAAGGAGTTTGAAATTTATCATGAAAGCAACTGGGAATGATGGGAGGTTTTAATGTGGGAATAACTTCTTCTGATTCTTGTTGGAAGGCTCCTTCCGAGAAAACCTGGAGGATAAACTGCAGGCAGAAGGTGTGTATGTGCTGGTGTGCACACACTTGGGGGGTGTGTATGTGTATGTGTGTGTGCGTGCTTGTGCATGTCTGTGTGTGTGAGGGCCGAGGGCCAAGGACACAGGCTGAAGGACCTTTCGCCCATGTTCCTGAAGGGCTCAGACTCCCCTCTATCGGTGGTTCTCCGCCCGGGCAGCACACTGGCTTTGCCTGGGCAGCTGTGAAAGCACAGCGATCCAGGCCCCGCCCCAGAATAGGCCACTGGGGGTTTTTGGGAGAAGCCTGGACACAGGTGATCCTGACATGCAACCAGCCGGGCGCCTGCCTGCACCCTCCTCTCCCGCCTCTGCCCTTCGCCTCAGGCAGGACGTGCAGGTCACCATGGTCTTACCTTCTGGATCAAGCTGGCAAACTGCAGGTTTGCCGACTGTGAAATGTTTAGGACTGTGCCATAGGCATTTTCGCCCCTGTTCTCCAGCATGGCCTCCACTGCCACCCGCCGGCGCGTGCTCTCTACGATGAAAACCGTGGTGTCAAAGGACAGCGTGTATGCGGAGCAGTCCTGCGCAGGCTTCCTCAGCACCCTCTGGCAGTACTCCCTGCAGGAAGGAGACCACCAGGGATCAGGCCGATGGAAGGGCAATGCAGGGCAGAGTACTCATGTATTGCCTCTCTACTCAGCACGTTTCCCTTCGGGCTTTGGCTGCCAGGAAGCTCAGAGCTAAATGTAGAGACAATTCCGATTATTAGCCTAGGCGCTTGGAATATTTGCTTCTTCGTCCTTCTACGAGGTTTGAATGGGCTATTTCTATTTATTGTATATGTCATGGTATATCATGGTGTATATATCTTCTGTCTAAACTCTAAATCACCTCATAGTTGTTTAAAAATGGAGCAGAAATTATTGGAAAATATATTACATAAATTTAAAATAGGGTACGGTTCCTTGTGTTTCCTCGTATGCTAGTTTGTTTCTTCCAGGGGATTTGTGGGCACACTCTGCTAGTCTCCTTAGCATAGGACTCAAGTGGGCAGTCAATGAATCTTAAAGGTCACCTCATCTGGGGATTGGAGGAGGAGGGCCTGGATCTCCAGGCCCCGGGCCTCTACCTTTCATCAGTTTTATAGCACGGGGTCCAAAGAAAGGATTCCTTTTTCTAAACAGAGTTGGAAGACCTTGGTTTGGACTAGGAGTATTCATTTTCCAGAGTAGGTAACTGAGGCTTAGAGGACAAAGAGACTTGCGTGAAGTCACACAGGAGTTAGAGGCAGAGCCTGGATTAGACTCAGGCTCCAAATTTAGTGTTTAAGCTGCGCTGCTTACGAGAAGGATGTGCAGGAGATAATCCAGGGCCCTGGGAGCCTCAGCTCCACGATCAGGGAAGGAAGTCAGGGTAGGGGCAGGAGGAGCCAAACTCACATAGCTGTGGGAAGGTCACTGCGGGCATCCAGCAGGAGGTCAGGGACACAGTGCTCGTCCTCATTGCAGCCATTCCAGAAGGGAACCTGGGCCAGGGAGAGCCAGGGGTGGGTGGCTGGACAGGAAACCCACAGCCTGGAGTCCCCATCTTTGCTGCGGGCCCTCCCTTGCCCCCCTAGCACATCAGCTCCTCTACTGCACTACACATGGGCGTTGTCTTTTCCGCCCCTTTCATGGACACCGCACTGCTGTGTCTCATGCTTTTGCATAGATGTTAACTCCTTTAAAACATGGCTCAAAACTCAAGTTCTCCTGGTTCCCTTTCAGTTTTTAACTGAGCTGGTAGCACAGCATACCCACTTACTCAGCACAGCAGTTCCAGTGAAAATTTACTGACCATTGACGGTGTAGGGGGCCACGTGTTTGATACTACGGCTATAGAATGAGGAAGACACAGCTTCTGCTCTCAGCTCGTGGGGAAGATGGGTGTGTGAGCAAATAATTATAGTGTGAAATGTGCAAAAAAATAGAAATCTGCATGACAAATAGGAGAGGCAGAGAAGAGGAAACAGTTATTTTGCCCTGTAGATGGTCAGAGGAAGCTTCAGGGAAGCTCAGGGAAGTGCTGAAGGATGAGCCGGTGAGCTGGATGGACCAGAGAGCGAGGGAAGTCCCGGAGCGAGGACGAGTCTGTGCACAGGTCCTGAGCCATGAAGTAGCACGGTGATTCTGGGAAACAGTGGGTAATTTGGTGTTGCTATAGGAAGGGGTGGAGGAGATGGGGAGATGGGCAGGGGCCTAGGGGTCATGCCTTGCAAGTGATAGGAACCACTGATCGCTTTTGACACGGGGTTGTCCTGCTAGATCTGTCTACTGAAGGCTCCTTCTGGCTTCCGTGGGTGGATGGACTTGAAGAGTGAGGGCTAGAGGCAGGCAGACCATTGAGAAGGCCACTGAACGGTTCACGAAGGGGTGATGTGACTGGTGACAGGGTGGCAGTGGGTGTGGAGAGGAGAAAACAGGTCAGGGGCCTCAGAGGTGGGGTCGGCAAGTCCTGCGGTTCCTTGGGGCTAAGGGAGGAAAGGGCCCAGGATGTTGGCTGAGTTTCTCTTTCAGCGTCTGGAGGGAGGGCCGCATCGTTCGTTCATGAGAGGAGGGGTTAAGCGGAAGGGGCATGTTCAGGCAGCTGGGTACTCAAGCCTGGAGCTGAGGAGCAGCAACTGTCACTACCAAGAACACAGCCCAAACGCAGGGGATGGGAAACAGGTGTCACAAAGGCCACACATATCTTAAATTCATTAACTTTTCTCAAAGGTGAGCTCCCTAGCCTTTACTGAGATCGGCTTGCTCGTAACTGAGACACACCGCCATCGAGCCCGCCCCCGGAGCTTCCCAACCACAGGGTGCGTTTGTGCTAGAAGCAGGCACGCTGTAATAACGCCAGGGAAAGGCGACAGCAGAGCCATGTAAAGTAGGGCAGAGAGAGGTCATCCCATGAAGGGACATGGTTCAAGACCCTTTGGCCGCCTCAGGGGCTTCACTGTATTCTAATAACCATGTCATTTTGGTGATTTCAAGTCTCCAATAAAATACCTCCCACCTTTGCCCAGCATACTCTAGGAAGTGTGAAAACTACATAATAACCTTTGGGAAAATTTCTATCCAGTTCATTAAAAGGAATAATTTAATGCAATGAGCAGTTTTTATACTCCATTATATGGAATGGCTCATTCCCCCAAGAGGTGAGATATTACTGCACTAGAACAGTGTTGGGCATTTAATAGATGCTGAATATGAATTTGTGTAAGAGTGATGGGAAGGATGTTTCTAATTTGCTGGGGGCTAGAAATCCAGATTAACAGGCTTTCTAGAAGTTTAGCTGCTACTCAAAGCCATCAATGGTATGGCCCAGACTGTCCTTTTCAGCTTGTTCTCACCTCTTCCTCACACACCCCTCACTTGGCTGTGTCCCACGCTGCTCCCGAGCGAAGCCCGTCCTCCCCACCTCTGCCTGTCTGACTTCTGTCTATGCTTTAAGGTCCAGCTGAAAGCCACCTCCCCTGTGAAGTCCGCTGCCCCATCATCTGATTGCTCCATTACACTTCCTCTGAGCTCTTTGACCTGGCCCACGGCCCTGTCGCCCCCTTGCATTGGGATCACCAGCATCAGAGCAGAGTGCCCTGCACGTTAATCTGCATCATGTGCTTCCACCTGTGTGTAGAACGAACGACACGCACTCACCTATTCATTTGCTGCCACGGCTTTGTAACAACTGTGGTGGGGAAAACCAGTAAGGACTTAGTGCAGCCAGCCCTTCCCCTCTCCTGGCTGTGCCAGTCCATTTCCCTCCCTCTCTCTTGAGCTGCATTTTAAGGCAGCCTCTCCTGTGTTTGTGACTCAGAGTCAGGGAGAAAGTGGAAGGGAGGGTGCGAAGGTTGAGGGTTGGGTGGTGGAGTGTGGAGGTCCGGGAAGAGGTGGGGCGCCACGGAGGGGCTGTGGGCGGGGGCTGATGGGGTGAATGGGAGCAGAGAGGGGATTTTCAAAAGTGTTGCTGTTTGAGTCCTTTCATGTTGGAGAAGTACAGGTAAGAATGTGAGTATTTGAAGTTTTGCTTGCCAGCTGGATTCTATAGAGCAATTCTCAGACACCGTAACCCCCCAGGCCACAGTCTTCGAAGCTTTGTGGTATATTTTGGAGTTGTTCGCTAAATCCTGAGGGTTCAGGTATGAGAAACCCCATTTTACACATTTTGCTGCTCTCCCAGGCCAGCCCTGACAGAGTGGCTAGCTGCCGGACATTTTCTCTGAGTGGGATGTACCAGGAGTGGCAGATGTGAGGAGCATCTGGTGTCAGATTTCAGAAAACGCCGATTGCTCCGATTGCTCCTCGAACCAGGCATTAGAGAATGGGGTGGAGGGTGAGGCCCGGGCCAAGGGTGGGGCTAAAGCCACCTGTTTTGGGGAAGACTGTTAATAAGTCAGTAATTCAACACACCACTGACCAGGCTCTCTCAGGCCTCCAGGGTCCTCATCTGTAAATGAGGTGGGCGACTGAGGTCTAAGCCCCCCTGGTCCTGTGGGTCTCAGGTCCTGTGATCCCCTGAGTGCTCACCCTGTGTCGGGATACAGGGAACCCTCCAAAAGGAGAAGGTCCATACCCTCAAAAAGTTGTTCAGCACAGGTCACGAGGGACGAGGGAAGGAGGCGGGAAGGTGTGCTGGGGAAAGGGCGACTCTGTACCTGTCACATTCAGGCCTGGGCTTCGGGGCGGAGGTGGGCGTGGGGCAGGGTGTGCCCCCGAGTTGTGCGCCCTGCCTGCCAGGACGTACCGAGACTCTGAGGGACGTGGGCCAGCCGTCGTCCAGCACGGGGCCGTGGTCGGGGTCCTCCAGGGAATACTCGACTGAGAAGGTCACTGGTTTCACGTAGTCAGCGGTGTCCTGTGTGGGAGGAGATGAGGGTGGGTGCGGGAACACCCGTTTCTGGGCCAGCACCACCGAGAGAGGACTTCACTGCCCTAATCCAGGAGGGCTGCCCTGTCTGCCCTCAGCATGAGTCCGGGATACAGGAGCTGCCAGGTGGGGGGCGGGCACTGGAGAGTCCCCTGGAAAGGACCCGGGGCTTGGCATAGGACAACCTGACTGCTCGAATGTTTCACTAAGCTCCTGCTCACGCTTCAAGGCCGGGCACCCGTCTCGCCCGTACCTAGGCCTCCAAGAAGCTAGGCACCAGCCATCCCCACATCCTGTCCTGCCTTGCCACGGCCACTTCCACGTGGCATTCCAACTCTGATTGTGTGTCGGTCTCCCTCTGTCAGAAGCCTCTTGGCACAGTCCTAGCACTGTGACGGGGCTTAATAATTGTGTTAAATCCATAGAGGAAAAACCTGTGACCAGTAAGGGGTGATTCAGGTTGGACCTATGTATAAGAAATGGTAAGAGGGGATGCGTAGAGCTGCCTAAACAGTCTCCCCCAGGGAACCCAAGTCCCAGTGTGAGTGGCCTCTTTGTATTAAGGCAGTGGCTCTCAAACTTGATCTTGCACCAGAATCCCCAGGGGTCGGGGGAAGGCCATTAAAACACTGAGTTCCACCTCCAGAGTTTCTGATTCAGTAGGTCTAAGATGGGGCTTGAAAAATATGCATTTCTAACAAGCTCCCAGGTGATGGGGGTGTGGCTGGTCCAAGGACAACGCTTGGAGAACAAGTGTATCAACACATCAGAAGAGGCGCCGTATTAACAGACGTGAGGACTTCTTACCGCTGCTAGCTTTTCTGACTTTGCCTGTTGCATCCTGGGGCCAGGACGCTCTGAGTGTCCCCTGCTGGTGTTCCTGAGGCTGGAGCTGTGGCCCAGGCCCTTGAAGTTTCTGGATGAAGTGAACTTCTCATGCTCTTCTTCATCCACTGGTCCTCCCTCTCTGCCAGGTTGGCCGCTCTCTGCCCCTCCGCCCAGCTCATCCTCACCACTGGCCTGCCAGACCTCCTCTTCATTTTTAATTGATGCCCACTTATTCTTTCTTCCAAGCCATGGTCCCTGCTGGCTGACCCTGTTCTTTCTGCTAGACCTCAGCGAGCACCACCTCCCTCCTCACACTTCACCCCCTGCTGAAGAATTTGGGCCCTTGACAGATGCGGGAGAAGGAATTTGGGAGGAGGGTACCGTCAGGTGGTAGGTTGTAACTTTTTCTCTGGGGCCTGAGTACGGGGTGGCCGTGGCCCAGGACCCTGCCCGCTGGCTGGCCTCCTGAGGTCTGCTGGCACCAGCTGGGCTCTCCAACTCTCCCATGGCAGCACCCCCTCCAGCTCTGTGTCCCCTTCCTGTAGGAGCTTGGGTTCTGCTAGTGGGGCTGCTGGGCATCAGGCTCACCAGGACATGGAAGCTGATCCGATCGCAGTGTTCCTGGCTGGAGGAGAGCAGGACAGCCCTGTTTGTGTATCGGTCCCCGCCTTCATCTAGATGGGCTCGTGGTGTGTACCGCCTCTCGTCCATCGTGGCATTGTATCTGATGCCTAGAGGAGGGAGAGGACAAGACCATGAAGGTGAAGTCACGTTTCCATTCAAGACTGTTTGCCTCTCATTTAAAAAGGCCTCTGAAAAGTCAGCCCCTTCCAGGAAGCCATCCAGGCTGGTCAGGAAAGAGCTGCTCATCTGTCCTTAGGAGACCCAGTGTGGGCATGAAACTCCCAGGCAGAGAGCAAGCAATGCAGTGAAAAAGAAGAAAAGAGAGAAACTGAAACAAAGAGGGAGGCAGGAGGAGCAGGAAGGGAGATGGGGCTGACAGTGAGGGGAAAGAGAGGAAGAAATGGAGGGAAAAGTGAACGTGGTAGAAGAGGCGAGAAGACAGGACAAGGGGTGGTACACGTTTGAGCCCCTCCTGGAGTCAACACAACTTCCCACCTCTCTCCTTTCCTCTTCCCAACTCTCACCCTTGGCTCTGGGATCCCATCATGTCTGGTTCCAAGGCTCCGCATGTGTCAGGTCCCATTATACTAACGAGGGCTGGCCAGCTCTCACCAGCTTCCCACCAATTCCTCAAACTTAAGACTCTGTTCTGGGGTTAAAGGCCTACAGCCTCCTCCCTTTCAAACAGGCTGATCTTGTGTTGATTCCAGGAAAGGCGCAGTCCCTTCTCCTGTAACCCAGCTAGTCCTCTGGGTACGCCAGGTCCTTGCATCTTTCTCCTTTTGTAGGTAGATGTTGAAAGAAGGGCACAGTCACCCAGGCCTGACTTTGTTCTCATCTCCCCTGGACATCCGTTTCTTCTTCTTCTGGTTGGCCCTGCTCCTTGGTTGGGAAGCTCTCTGTAGTCCCCATTTCCTGCACAGGCCCAGCCGGGTCCCAGCTGGGTCCTAAAACCTGAAGTTGTCACTTCCTAGAGCTGCCCGGTCCCAAGGCTGCCATGAGCAGGTGTCTGACCCCAGCCTTGACTACAAGTGAAGTGATGGACCCTCGGAAGGAAACTGCCCTCCTACAGACTCATACCTATTTTGAAGAGTGACCACCGCTACCTGGGTCTTCATCCTCCTGATCGCCTGGTTTCCAGCACCACCTCCTGGGTCTGACTCTTTCTCTGCATCCGGGCTGACTTAATGGCTCTCACACCCCAGTTTACTCCACTGCTCCCAGTCCCCTGTTGGAATCCAAACTGTACCCCAACTATTTCCTTCTCCTGACCTTGCCCTCGGTCACCATGTCTCACTGCCGTCCTTGCTCTGGCACGATATCCCCTCTCTGTCCCTTGGAATTAGAGCACCACGTGGACATCCAGCAGTCAACAAAGGTGGCTCTGGGTGTGACCTGGCACTTAAAACATGGTAATCCTGAAGTCCCCGGGGGAGAGAGAGGGGCCCAGTTTACCGACTGTCGCTGTTTGGAAATGGTGTGCCAGGAAGACGGGTGTGAAGCAGAGGAAGGCGGCCAGGCAGGTGGCATCTCTGCCGCTGCGTTTGCAATCCCTGTGGAAGATGTTGATCTTGGACGGCTCAAAGTGGAGGCTGGCATTGATCTGAACCACAGGGCGGGACCTGGAGAAGAAAGGCATGTCACTGGGGCGGGGTAAACCCAAGGCGGCCCCACTGGGACCTGAGGGAAAGGGGAGGGCCAGATGGGAGTGGAATCTTCAAGACCAAGACTGGAGGGTGAGGCAGGCTGTGGGGATGGGGGTGCAGAGGAGCCCCAGTTGTTGAAGGACTGGGCAAAATGTGTACAGGTGATGAGGGATGGGCTCAGCAACCTCCTTGGCCCTCCTTGGCCCCCGAGGTAGCCCTTCCTTATTTTCTTTGCTGGAGGTTATACTGACTTCCTTTTGCCTCCTCATCAGTTTTAGATCAGTGGTTCCCAACCAGGGTAAACACTAGGCTAATCTGGAGAGTTTAAAAAAAATCTTGGTGCACAAGTTGCACTCCAGGTCAAATTAAATAAGAGTCTTTGTAAACATGCCTTAAAGCTGTGCTTCTATATTTTAATACATTGGCGCATCTCCTGGGGATCTGTAAAAATGCAGATCCCGACCTCATAGGGGGGCACAGATGCTGCATTTCTAGCAAGCTCCAGGGTGATGCTGCTACTCTTGGTCCCTGGACCAGACTTGGAAGAGCTTGGGGTTGAGGCTCCCCAGGGGATTCCAGGGTGCAGCCATAGTAGGGAACCACTCCCTGTACCAGAGATTCTGTCCCCATGCACCCGACACTACCCATCCAGGCAGCCAAAGAAATGTAAACTTACTCTTCTATTGGTCTTAGTCAAACATATTCAGGGAAGGAAATGTGTTGCCTTTCCCCATGCATTTGTATAAAAAGAAATGAGTATAGTGTGATTTAGATGCTTCAAATTTCCAGCGTGATTGTCTCTGCTAATACTCGGAGACATGGTGATAGAGGACTGTGGAGTGAAAAGGGTGAATTTGAGTCTTGGCTCCATTGGGAACCTGGGTAGGTCACATGACCTCTCTCATGGGAATTATAAGAATCAAAGCAGGAAAGTGAGACAGTGTACAATGCTGTGTAAATGTAATAGCTTATATCAGTAGTTCTTAAGTTCTGCTATCCATTGGTAACAAACACATGTGGAGTCTTTAAAAACTACCACCTCCTGGCCCCTCCCCCAGAAATTCTGCTTCAAGTGGTTTGGGCAAAGCCCTGGCAGTGAGAGTTTTAAAAGCTCCCCAGGTGACCCTAATGGGCGGTCATTCCCGCGTGAGATCCATGGGATTGGACCAGATAGTCTCCCCAGTGGGCTCTGCCCACAAGTTCGTCACTACTCAGGGCTTTGACAGAAAGCAATCTCTGTATTAGATATCTTCCTTCCTGCAAGTGGAGAAGGGAGATCTGTTCCTTTAAGTAGCTGGAAAGGCTGAAGTTGAAAAAAATGCCTAAGTAGCCAGGACTTTTAGGGTAAATTCTAAGAGAGGCTTTTTGACACTAAATGCTTGAAAATCTTAGAACTCCCTTGAGAAGAGGGATTGGGATTTCAGAATAATTTACAGTCATTCCATACAAAGGAGATTTGTAATCATGATGGGATAAGAACAGGGTGAATTTGGCTGACAGTGATTAAAGACAAGGGACAAAGGTCCCGAAGCATAGCTTTTAAACCCTGTATCCATCATGAGTCTCAGGAGAGCCCGAGTCAAGAAAAGCGAAGGAACCAACCACAAAATCACGGCGTTGCCAAGGCCGCCCACCGCCAGGTCGACAAGCCCATCTTCGTTGAGGTCCAGTTGCCCGTGAAGGCTGCAGCCAAAATACTGGAGGCCGGGAGCCAGCTCTGTGGCGGCAATTCTCTAGGGAGTGGAAGGAAAAAGCTGGGACCGGACATGTGAAAACAGGGTGCGGCGTGGCCACCGTATACACATGGGAACCCCGGAGGGAGCCTGTTTGAAACCATCAGGATGTTTCTCCAGCCCAAAGTTATCTCCTGTCGTGCTGGCACCTGAGATTCCTATCATTAAGTCATAATTTTGGACTCAAGTACTGTGTCTGCAAATAGTTCCCCATTAAGTGTAAATATGTTACCTGGCAGGTAACCTGGTTAGCATCTCTAACCGTGGTACATTGACTAGCTTACTAATAACATATTGAGCAAAGATAATGATCCTGAGGGGCTGGGAACTGGGATGGGTCACTTTTGAGGGGAGCAAGGTGTCCAGCATGAAGCATTTCTGGAGCAGAGCAAGCCCAGATAGGAGTTCTCCACTGTGGTCAAGTGCATGAATGCATGTGGAGGGGGTGAGGTTCGGGTCCCTGGGGCTTCGTTGTTGTTGCTGTTAGCAGGGAGAGGGTGGCCATTTTTCCTAAAGAAAAATGTCCCCATTTTACAATTTTGACACAAGGCAAGTAGGGCTAGGAGATGGGAATCCTTTCTTGGGAGAGGACACAGCAGACTATCCTGAACCAATGACCAAGCATGAGCTACAAGGACTCCAGGTCCCGGCTCCACCCATTGGCGCTACCTGCTTCGGCGTCTTTAGGAGGCCGCCTCGGAAGCCGTGGAAGATGTAGATGGCCCCTTTGTGGTTGTCCTCCAGAGGGGCTCCCACCACCACGTCGTTGTAGGAATCTTGATTGAGGTCCTGCACTGAGACGATGGAGGACCCGAATCGGGCATTCTGGTAAATGTGGGAATCCTTCAGTGTTCCGTTGTAAACAAACCAGTTCTGTAAAACCGGGGCAGGAAGAAGCTCAGGGGGGGCCTCTGACAAGGGCCCTTGGGGTCATGACCCCCTCTGGCCTGCAGCATCCTCTCTCTACCCCATCTTCCCCAGCATCCCTTCTCTGGTGACAGAAGCCCAGCAGAGGAGCTTCCTAGCCTCCCCCGCCCGGCTCAGCAGGCAGGCGCTGGCCTCTCTCGTGACCCAATTTCCCTCGCGGATACGAGCGTGAAGGCAGGGGCCAGGTGCTCCTGGGAGGCTGCCGGACCCCACACAGCCGTACCTGTCTCAGGTTGTAGACGTACACCCGGCCTCGCTCTCGGCCCTCGCTGAAGTACATGGGTGCGCCCACCAGCAGGACGTCAGTCACACCGTCACCATCGATGTCCGCCGAGGTGATCTCACTCCCGTAGTAAGAGCCTATCTGCGGCACAGGGATGGGGAGGGGGCTGTGGGGCTGGTTGCTGAAAGGCCTTGCCTTGCCAGCGCAGGGGACCAACGACAGCCTTGGCCTCGGAATGTTGGGTGCACAAATGAGGAAGTCCTTTCCTTCTCCTGCCCCTCACTCCGTCCCCTCCCAGGGAGTGGGCGTGCCCTCTCAGTTTGTCCTTCCTTCACCTCCCTTTTCTTTCTGTTGCCCATCTCCACCCCCACTCCTCTTTCTTTCTATTGTTCAGTTTTATCAATTGCCATTCATTCCGTTCATGACTGATACATTATAATGGCAAAAAATGAGCATATAAAAAAAGGTTTGAAGAATAAAAGTCACCCATTGTCCAAACATCCAAATATTATGAATGTTTTAGTGTATTTTCTTATAGTCTGTTTTCACAAGAGTGTGTGCCTTGTTTTTGTGTATATATATGGCTTTATTTTTCTAATCTGGGCTCATTTTATATATATATATATATATATATATATATATATACACACACACACACACATATACACACACATATATACATACACACATATACATATACAGTTTACAGACTGATGGGTCATGAGTATTTATTAATTCTTTTCTACTACACAATCATTGGTGATTCTATAATATTCAAAATCATGCATGTGCCAAATGTGTTTAATCAGTCCTCTATTGTTGAACATTTGCCTTGTTCAATTTCTAATGTCACAATAACTATGGGATTAGCACCTTGTGTGGCAAATTATGATTTCTTTGCAGCAGTTGAGCATTCACTGGGTTCCTCCCGCACAGTGGGTGCCAGGCTCGCCACTTCAGTGAGGGTGCCATCTGCCCACTCAATCAGAGGGTCCTCCCTGGCTCCACCCTCTACCTTACCCCTCCTTCCTGCGGTTTCCCAGTGAGTCCTGCTTGGTGTTTGTCAAACATGGCCCCAGTCCACCTACTTCCCTCCTCTGCAGCCTCTTCCCTAGGTCAGGCACCAACCAAAGGCCCTCCGCCTCCTGGCCAGCCCCTCCAACCTACCCCCATGGGCAGCCAGAGTGGCTTCCTAGCAGCTGACCATGTTGCTTCCTTGCTTCTGGGAAAAAGTTCAAACTCTCCAGTGTGACCCTGCTGGACCTGCCTGCCTCCCTCCCTCCCCAGCCTCTGGCCCCCACATCTGGCTCCCAGACACCCTCCTGCCATACCCAGTGATTTCTCTTCTCCCAAAGCCCCAGACCCTGACTGGGTTCCAGGCTTCCCTCGGCACAAACTTTTTCTTGTCACCTCTTTTCTCCTTTCTTCCCTCCCTGTGAATGTCTGCCATCCCTCAGGTCAGTCCCTCCGCAGGTGCCTCAGAGGGTGGGCACTGCACCTGCTGGGTCCTCTCCAGGCCTGGGTGCCCTGCCTGGCACACAGGAGGCACTCAGGAAACGTTTGCTGGATCAGTGAGCCACCTAAGAAAGCAAAGAAGCCCTTCCCAGGGACAGGCCTTGCCTGATATGCTTTGCAGCCTCGGGTCGGCATGTGTGAGCCTCGTGCTTCCTTAGGAGAGATCACAGTGCTCATTGTAGCGGGAAGGAACCGAGCAGAGAGTTTGAGTCACTTGTCCAAGGTTAGAAAGCTGGCCATGGCCAAACTGGGCTGGAACTTGGGTTAGTCTGTCACCCAAGCCCGTGATTCTCCCTCCCCTAGTCAGCTCTTGGCTTAGGGTGCTTTCAGAAGCATGAAGAGCTTTTTGATGAAGAGATAAAAATACAGAACAGAGAGAAAAAAAGTCATGAGCATGGGGTGGGGGAGGGAAGTGATGTGCTTGCCTAAAGTAATTAAGAGGCAGACAGCAATAAGGGGGAAGGGAGGGAGATTGTCTAAATATATGGCCTCAGCTATGTGGGTCATGGTGATTTAGAATCCACTTAATTTAGCTGCCTTCAGCACTGCGGTTTCTCCTTCGGATGTTGGAGGCGGGACTGGGTAGTAAAAATGTCATAAACTCATCAGCAAATTCCCTCCAGCTCTCAAGTCTAGCCTTGGATTCTGAAAAGAGCCAGCCCTGGGCGGAGTGTGGGTGGGGAGGGTGGAGGCTGGGGCACAGAGCAGTGCCCTGGGGCCGCCGTGGAATCATAGCTTCCCACAGCTGGGTGGGGTTTAGGTTAGACCCAGTGAGGAGCTTGTCCTCATGGTGACAGGCCAAGGTCAGCAGACGATGCAGGAGACAGGGCTGTTCCCAGGCTCTGGAGAGCTGATGGTGAGCTGGGAATGACAGCAAGGACCTGGACAGGGTGCCGCCTAGCCCCAGGGTGCCATGGATGCTGGGTGCTGCCATCAGGAGGGGCCAAGGCCTGGTTTTGGGGTTGTTGGGAGTCAGGAGGTGGCACAGTGTTAAGAGCCCCACCAAGAATCCTGGATTCTGAACTTGAGCCGGCCATGAACCTACTCTATAACCTTGGACAAACTATGTTGCTTCTTAGGACCCCAGTTTTCCTCAGCTACTGAAATGAATTTTCTGTTTTCTGATCTTTTTCCACTGATGACTCTATCATAGCTTTCTACTTTATATTCGTGGCCATCCAACACAAGACTGTCAGCAGTGCGGCCTGGTTGCCCACCACGTCTCAGGCGGGGCAGTGGCATTGGCCGCGGTACCGTTCTGCATTGTGACCATTCCGGGAAAAGGAGAGAAGCTGGCGTCCTGGAGAACCCATGGGGCCTGGAGTGGGTAGCAGCATGAAGGTGGCTTGAGGAACATGACTGCCCCTCAGGCACCCTGGTAGCCCAGGCCTTAGTTTAGATGCTGCATCTAGCCCTGGACTCTAGAGACAACCAGGGAGAAGCTGGCAGCCAGAGGCAGAAGCCCGTGAAATGCCAGCAAGCAAGTTCTCCAGCTTCTCCTTGCTGTGGCAGGGACCGGGATCTGGCTTTCTGGGGATGGGCCAGTCCAGCTCCAAGGCTGCTGTGAAGGAGATATGTGTGCCCCAACCAGGAAGGATGTTTTTGGGCCTGAGGACCATCCTACTGAGAAGGAGGAGATGACCTCCAGGGACCCCTCCAGCCCAGCCTTTCCCATTTGTCCAGCCTCCTTTGTTCCCCACCCCCAAACTCCCCCTTCATTACCTGCTCGCCCCGCAGGGCCTGGTGGATGGTGAGACTCCGGTTGTTGTGCATGGTGAACAGGATGGCTTTGCCCGTGTGGTTGAACCGGGGGGCTCCAGCCACGTACACCCGCCCCTGCCTGGAGGACACGACCGATGTGACTGTGTACCCTGCCACAGGAGGAAACAGGCTGGTCTCTGGCCCCACGTGCTCAGCAGGCCTTGCCAGGGCCCCCCGAATGGCTCAGCTCTGCCGGAGGGCAGGGAAGGCAGGGAGGGCATGGAGGGCTGGCCCGGCAGGTGCGTTAACGCAGGGCGGTCGTTCCCAGGCCTGTGCCCGGTCCTGGTGGGAGGAATAAAGAAAGCCAGGTGGGGCTACTAAAAGGCATGGCTGACCTGGAACATCCACAGCGCCTCCTTCACAGCCCCTGCAGGCTTGGCTTTTGATCTCCACCAATTGGCCCCTCTCAGGGGCCAAACTGTGTCTTCTTCATTACCATAAACCCCTGCTAAGTGGCTCATGGAAACTAGTGCTGTCTATCTGGGGATAAGGATTACAGGGATTTTTGCAGCCCCAAAGCTTGCAGACTCAAAGGAGGGAGCTCCCAAGCTCCTCCAGGCCATGAAAATGCCACACAAAAGAGGAAGAAATGGAAACCCAGGGGCTCTTTGGAAGGGCACCAGTCTGTGTTCTCAGGATGGCATTGCCCGATCATTGTGATTCTCGGGGTGCCCAGCCAGCATCCAGAAGGTGAACGTGTAGCACCTTCAGGCCACTGTCCTGAAAGTGGGGCAGGTGTGCAAGCTGAGAGTTCCACTTCCTGCCACACGACCTTGAACGGGATCCCAGTTTTTAGAAGGTGTCAGGCCTGTTGGCAGCTCCTGGGCTGTTTCTGGGGAATGGATGTCTCCTTCTGCCATGTGTGCATGTGTGTGCAACGCTGTCCCTGGGGTCCTACCAGCTGGCCCCAGAGTGGCTGCAGGATGCACAGATGAGCTGATTGAGTGGCCAGCGGTGTGGGAGCAGTAGGGTGTCTACTTTGGTTCCATACACAACCTTTTTGACTCTTGAAAGCGTGTTCTGGGAAATGGGGCTTGAAAGGTCAGGAAAGGTCAGGACATTGCATGGGGGTCGCGAACGCGGCTGTGTATTTAGCACAGTCCTAAATGAGGGTAGGGTGGCATTAGCCTTGCGATGTGGAACAGAGATTTCTTCTGAGCTGAGTCCGCAGTGGCATGACTGGGAATGTTTTCAGTTGGCCCTGAGCTATTGGACTTCCATACAAGGAGGGATGGGTGGTGGTGGGAGAGGCCTGGGGGCCTATTGTCATGGGGGCAGGCATGGGCAGACCCCCAAAGCTCCATCAACATTGAGAACTTCCTGCTTACATCATTCTGTTGGTGGTGGCTTCAGTTTTCATGTGGCTGTTTGGCCAGCAGGCAGGGCCACCCTGAAAGCTGAACCAGCCTCTCTGAAGGCCTGACAAGAGGACCTGCGTCAGAAGGCCGTACAGCTTCCTCAGCACGGAGGCGGAGAGCCTGGCCTCCCAGTCTCCTTCCCCCATAGCTCTCTCTTGGGGCATGTAGGGAGGAATCTTCCCTACCCACCCAAGGTGGTGACTGTGGTTAAGGCCAGACAGCTGGGCTTCATAAGGGGACTTCATCCTGGCTCTACCCATCAGGGTTTTCTGGGAGGAGGGGGAGCATCTAGAAGCAACCACTGGGTACATTTCAGGTAGAGGTCCATGCCTTGTCATTTATTCTACCTACTTACTTGCCAGGCAGGGTGCCAGGCATGGTGGGCACTCGGCTGAAGAGGCGATCATCCTGATCGGTGCTTGAATCAGCACCGAATGCTCCGTGTCGTGTGAGGGCAAGTTCTGGCTCCCCCGGCTCCCCTCCCTGCCTGTGGCGCATCACCCGCCCTTGCTCTGGCTCTCACCCAGATATGCGCCGTGGTTCTTGAGCTCCTCGGGGAACTCCTTCAGGTAGGACTCCCGGAGAGGAATGACCTTCCCACCACTGGTCTCCTTTAGCACAGCTCCGTTCCAGTCATAGGCACCGACGGCTCCCAGCAGAATCCCATCCTGGCATTGGGGAGGGGACACGTGTCAGCTCTTATCCCCCCAGGTGCCCCTCTCTGGGAATCCACACCAGGTCCCGCCCCATGAAGCACCTGCCAGCCACCCTGGACATCTTCTGGATTCATATTTAACAGCCCACCTTGTAGCCAGGATCTTTGGCTTTTGAATGAGCCAAGGAATCACTCCTTGTTCAGAGTCAACTAAACACACAGGCATTTTTGCCTCAACACATCCTTAGAGAAAAATGGGTCAAGCAAATCCCAAGGGTGGGATCTTAGGAGAGAGGGAATGTTCTAGAAAGAAACTCCAAACCCACGACCAAACCTCTGTTAGTTTTGGGCTTCAGAACCCCACCAGGAAATCTCTTGTCACTATGCCTTCCTCCTGACACTCCTTTAAGCTGTGCCCCTGCACTTGGCCTCCTTCCACATTCCTTTGTAGAGTCTGAGTTGCTTCCCTGTATGTGAATCCTATTTCTTCAATTTTTAAGTAAAAATTTACTGAGTGTTTACTTTTTGCCAGATGCCTCATGGAGCTCCAAGATCCTAATTGAATACACGAATAAATGTAATAGTTGCAAACTGGGATAAATGTGATGAGGGATGTAATCAGTGCCACAGTGAGCATTCATTTAGATTGAAGTGGAGGTCAGCAGAAGTATTTTTGAACAAGTGATGCTTACCCAGATGCTGGGAGGGGGTGGGGACAACTTGTGCAAAGGTCCTGAGGCTGGAAAGAGTTTAGAGCCTTTGGTTTGAAGGAACCGAAGGCTTCTTGATGGGTCTGGAACAATGAGTGAGATGGGGCAGAGTGGTTCAAGAGGAGGCGGGACAGGTGAGCCAAGGCCATGCATGATGACCAACGCCCTGAGGACAGAGCTTGTCATTAGTTGTAAGGTAAGTGGATGCTGCAACTCTCGGGCAGGAAGACAGGAAGCTCTGACTCCTGGAGTGAAGTCTCCATGTGACCGAGCCCAGGGTCCTTTCCTGAGGACTGGGTCTGCTCACACTCTGGGCTACACGTGCACGCTATGCACCACCGTCCCACCTCCTTAAACAACCCAAGGAACCAGTGGGTACAGGAAGACAAACAGCAAGCACTTAGAAGGGGAAGAGAAGTGAGTAGGGGCAATGAGGGACGAGAAGGGCGGTGGGAGCAGGGAGGGGCTGCCTTCCTGGGTTACACTGGTGATTAGGGGCCGAAGGGTGGGGAAGCAGCTTTGGGCTATTAAAGCACTAGCTGGTGAAGTCGCCCTTCTCCCACAGAGCCTCCCTAAGCCCAGCTCATCGTCTGGATTTGAGGTTCCCCCACCATTCGGAGCCCAAGGCATGTAATCCCCCCTTACTCTCAAAGCAATGGTGCCAATAAAAAAAATGTGATTCTGGCCTTGGGACAACCAGAGCCAACTAAACACACAGGCAGGGTCTTCCTGCACTAGCGTCATTGGTGGCAGAGGAGGAGGTGAGACTGTGAACCTTAAGCTGTGCTTCCTTTTCTCATTTCCAAAGTGTCGCTTTAAAGAGTAAAGTTGATCTTATCAAAGGGTTAAAAATCCCAATGTTCTAGAGGTAGAATGGGGCATTCTGACAGTGTTTTCATAACTATAAATAAAGTGCTCTGGAGAGAGTCCGATGCACTTGGTTGTGTTTAACATCATGCTCTCTGATTAGCTTTCTCCCTCCTATTCTGTTTGGGCCTCAGCCTGGGAGAGCCTGGTGACCCACTGGGGCCAGGATTGGGGCCAGGCGCTCAGGACTCCCTGCCCACCATGTCACCGCCAACATCCCCGAACTTGGGTGTGCTCCATTCTTTTCAGAACACTTTCTCATCCAGTCACCCATCTGCATGAGGCCAGAAGGACAGATGTCATTATCTGCACTTGACAAAGGAGCATCTGAGGTTCAGAGAAAGAAAGGGACTTGCCCAAGGTCACACAGCAAGTCAGAGGCAGAGCTAGGATTTCAATCAGGAAGGCAGGTTGAGGAGGAGAAAATATCCATCTGCTTGCCAGAAGCCTCTGGATGCTGCTCCCGGTTCTCCAGCTGCGCTCTGCTCTGGGAGGAGCGCAGGGTTTGGGCTTCACCTCTCTCTCTTCCTTTCCTCCCTCTCTGCCTGTTAAGTTCAAGTTTGCAACTACAGGTCAGACTTTTTTGCTTCGTGGAGAAACCTTTGAAGATGAATTTTTGACTTTGCAGATGACACAAAGCCTCTGTGATGCACTGAGAACGGTGGGCTCAACCCAGGCGCCTGGGATTCCGCTCGGGAACCTGATGCTGACTTGGCACATGTGAAGCCTGGGGGTTCCACAGGGGCTCCTGGATCTGGCAGCACGGGCCGGGGGATGGCTCCCAGGCTCTTGCCTTCCGCCGTTTTACCCGGGTAATGGCTGCAGGCTTGTGGTCTCAGTGGGAGGCCCTTTCTGGGGAGGGGCCTCCTGGGGGCTGGGAGAGCCCCACTGAGGACAGGTACACTGGGAGGGGAGTAAGGGGAGGGCTGGCTGGAGCATAAGCGAAGCCACCAGAGCCAACTTCATTATGTCACAATTTTTTCCCAGCTGTGGGAGCCCAGATATTTGGAGTTTGGAAAAAAATCTCGAAGCATGTGGCCAAAGTCGTGACAAGAGGGAGCCGCGCCTATAGGCCCAGCTGGGAAACAAACAGCAGGCCTCACGCTCCAGGTCCGGCAGCTGCTCCCTGATTTGTGGTCTCCTTTCCTGTGGGGCCCTCTGGGCTCCCACCAGATATCAGCAGGGTGTGCCTGGGTGCCCCTTGTGCAGGTGGACCCGTGGCACAAGCTGGCTTTGCTGGAGCTCTGCGTGAAAACGAGAATGCAGGCTTGGCGGCCCTCAGAAGGCCTGAGGCCCAGCCTGTGCCCTCTCTGAGGATGACCTGCACCTGTCATCGCCCGAGCACGGCGCCCGCTGTCACATCCTGCCAGCTCAGCTCCTACCCGCCCTCTGACCTGACCTCTGCAGCAGCCCTCCCTTCCCAGACGAGCTGAATGCTTCCTGGGCCGTGGCCCTACTTCCCCCAGCTCCACATTCCAGAAAAGCCCCTGTTCCCAGCCAGGTTGGGCCCATCCCCAGCCCTGGAGGCCCTGTAACCTAGGGCAGCGGTTCCCAGCTGGGGGTTGATTAGCCCCCAGGCAACATTTGACGATGCCTGAGAAGAGTTTTGGTTGTCACAGCTGTGGGTGGTTGTTGGGGTGGCTATGGCATGTGGTGGGTAGAGGCCAGGGGTGCTGCTGAACACCGATTGTGCATAGGACAGCCCCACAGCAAAGAAGTATCCAGCCTCGATCATCAATGTGGCTGAGGCTGAGAATCCCTGGCCTTGTGGCTAGAGCATGCGCTCTGGGGACAGACATTCCTGACTTCCAGTTCCCCCTCCAAAGCTTCTAGCTGTGTTACCTTGGACAAGTTTCTTTCTCTGAGCCTCAGCTTCCTCAGCTGTTCTGCTGTAAGAATTAGCATTTTTAATTCTTAGCGGGTGCTTGGCTGATAATAAGGATTTGGTACATAGCAGCTCTTCTCATTGATTAATTCATCCCAAAGTACTTCCAGGAGGCAGGAGTCAAAGAATCAGATCTCACAGTCGAGTTAGTGCTGCAGATGAGTCTTCATATCAGCTCGTGAGAAGTGCTCGGATGGAGGCACAGACAGCTATTTTGGGGCCCAGAGGAGGGGATGACTGATTGGGTGTATAGTGGAGTTAGAAAAGGATTTTAAGAAAATTTTACTTGATCGATTATTACGTAAGTCTCAAAATGCACACTTCAGTTCCAAGCATCAAGATTCAATTCTACAAATATTTTTCAGACATCTATTCAAAGACTAAGGGTCAGAGAGGTTAAATGATTTGTCTGAGTCTGCGTAGCCAGGCATTAATGGAGTTAGAATACCAGACGCCAGCAGCTCTTCTTGGCATTGGAGAGGAAGGACGGTGGAGGCGGGCGGAGGTGGCCACTGGCGGTCCTGTGCGCAGGTGTGCAGGGAGGCCGCCTCGAGAGCACCAAGTGCTAGCTCCTCCCCCAGGCCCTCCCGTGGCTCTCTAGTGCCTGTGATTCCACCATTAGAATGACTGTAGAGGGGGCAGGAGTCCATTCTCAAGAGCCCCTTCTAAGGCAAATATACCATTAAGAGGGTGGATTATACTGTAGTTGCTTGGATCCTGGCATTAGACTTGTTTTCAACAAGCTCAAGGTTGAGCCCAAGGAAGGACGAGTGCCAGGATGTTTAGACGGGGTGGGGCAGGAAAGACCCAGAAACGGGTCCTCCCCGTTTCTGTGGAGGGAAGCCCCTCACTGCGTGCCCTGCTGGAAGCCGGTGGCCAGGGCAGTGAGCAGGGGCTGTGGGGGCAAGAGGCACATCGCACTTGACTGCTCATCCGAGATCAGAGGGTTGGTTGCCTCTGCTCAGAGTTTCCCGGAATGAGGCCCAGGAGCGAGGTGCTGAGCACCAGGGCGCAGCCCAAGGACACACAACTGGGCTTAGGAGGACCCTAGTGAACTGGAAATGATCCCTGCCACCAGCAGGCACCTTGTGAACAATCTGGAATAACATGCCGGCATGCTTGGCGACCGTGCTTTGGCCTCACGGGAGGGGCCCATGGCAGCCCTGATGGCAACCCCGGCTGCCTGCCCTCGCTGGCGGGTGCGGGGGGCACCCCAGGGTTCATGCACACGAGGGCGCAGGAGGCTCCTAGGTCATCTCACCATCGTGGATTAGTTTCTTTCACTTTGGAGTGAATCAGATATGCACAATGAATTCAAAAGCAAAACTCTTAGGAAAGATTACAGCTTTAAGGTTTCAACGGTTGAGAACCTTAGCTGTCCAGCCCACCACCCCGGGAAGGCCCGTGGAAGGGCTCAGGCCGAGGAAGCAGAGGGTGTCAGCTCATCCCACGTAGGTTACGGGAGAAATGATCTTTTTATCTTGGGTGAGTCACCCAAGCTTTTGTGTAGACAGGCCCACCCTAATAAAACTGCTTCCTTCTGTAAACTTTTGTTGTTGAAGAGGATTTATGGACTGCAGGGTAGGATGTTTAGTCTGAAATTCCTCTGCAGGGTCCTCCTGTAGGAGGAGCCTCCTAGTGGTCCATCCATCACCAGCGGATATCAATTATTTATGGTCCTGTTCCTTCCTCCAAACCTTCCCCTTTTGGCCCATGGAGATTACAGACTCTTAAGAGTCTATGCCCCCCTGGGAGGTATGGATCCCTTCTGCAAGCTTTCTGGTAGCTTCTTCTTGATTACTCAACTTGACAGGGAGTTCACCACCTCAGCAAGCAGCCAGCAGTAATAGGAGCTATTTCAGCTATCGGGTGACCTCTGCCAATAGCGTTCCAAATACTAATGAAAACATTGGCTTAAAAATCCATTCTAGAATTTGACCAGGGATCCATAGCTGGTCTTTCTGATGGTAATTTCCAGAATATTCTCTTTCCCTGTTTTGTAAGTCAAGACTAGAGTTTCCTGGGTTGGCTCCAGCTCTCTCAGTTTCCCCAGTGGCTCTGTCTTTGGCTATCAGCATGGGATGCAGTTTCTGTGGTCTCGAGCCGTGAGCTCTTTGGGTGGCCAGGTGATGTCTCGGGGTCTCCTCTCCTACTCTGGGCTCTGGTCCCTTCCTCTTGTAGTTTTAACCCTTCCTAACTCAAAGGTTGGTTTCCTTGCTAGACAGATGACCCTAGCAGACAGGGCAATGGGCCACTTGGCCTTTCCCCTGCCATTTGAGAATGTTCTCCTGGGTCCCTCCCCCAGGGCTGGAGATCTTTCCTCTGACTTAACTAAACAGGCCTGGGGCGCCGAAGGCTCCTTCAGCTCATTTGCAGGAAGCAGCTGTCTGAGGCTGCCAAGGTGGGCACTTCTGGGGGAGAAGAAGCCTGGGGGCTTGCCCAGGAGATGGACTTCCTTGGGCTCAGGACTTGCTTTGGGCAAAGCTAAAAGTGTGGAGCCACCCCGATCCCCAGAGAGATCTAGCTGACCCTGAGAGCAGTGGAGATGGACTCACAGGGACAGGCTGGCTGTGGCCAATTATGATGGCATTAGTGGCTGGCATTAAAAAAATCTGTGCTCTAATATAGTAACCCACTGGCTGGTCACAGTACCAGACAGCCCACCATCAAATTGCACCATTTCTTTGGATTTGGAAGGGTTCCTTTCTTTCCCTCCCCTCCCTCCCCTCCCTCCCCTCCCCTCCTTTCCCCTCCCCTCTCCTTTTCCCTCCCTGCCTCCCTCCCTTCCTTCCTTGCTTCCTTGCTTCCCTCTTTCCTTCCCTCCCTCCCTCCTTTTTCTTTCTTTCTTTCTTTTTCTTTCTTCTTTCTTTCTTTCTTTCTTTCTTTCTTTCTTTCTTTCTTTCTTTCTTTCTTTCTTTCTTTCTTTCTTTCTTTCTTTCTTTCTTTCTTTCTTTCTTTCTTTCTTTCTTTCTTTCTTTCTTTCTCTTTCTTTCTTTCCTTCCTTCCTTCCTTCCTTCCTTCCTTCCTTCCTTCCTTCCTTCCTTCTTTCCTTTCTCTTTCTTTCTTTCTTTCTTTCTTTCTTTCTTTCTTTCTTTCTTTCTTTCTTTCTTTCTTTTCTTTCTTATTAAAGAGTCTCAGAATCAAATGTCAACATCTTCTCTTCCACAGTCCTATCACATAAAAAATTCCAATACCTGTCACTTGAAAACAAGATGGGGCGATAGAAGAACTGGGGTCTGTATCTACAGGTTGGGGAGAGGCACCCTGCTCTCTGTGACTGGGCAAAAGAAAAAGAGTTGGGCATGTAGAAAAAGCTGCACAGGGGAGTGTATGACCTTGACCTAAACAGCAAGCTGGGGCTCTGAGTCCTGGTCTGCCCCTGCAGCTGGGGAACCTGTAGGTCCTTAAGGACTCACCTTGTTCCACTCACTGAGCTGCATGGGCCGTTTTCAGGGCTCAGCTCAAGCATCCACAAATAGCTGAAGTTTATCTTAATTTCCCTTCTCTTCAGGTTCCCTGATTTCTGGTGTACACAGATCACAGTATGAGAAGCAGGAGACGGAGCTTGTTTTATAAGAACATATCTCCCCAATTAGATTTCGAACTGCTGCCAGCTGAAATGTTACCTCAATCTTTTTTTTTTCTTGTTTATTCTGTTAGTTGTCCTAATTGTTACCCTCATCTTTATCTATTTTTGTCTCTCCATTTCCTGGTACAGAGCCTGACACACAGAAAGATGCTCAAAAATGACTGTGGAATGAATGAAAGAGACAACGGACATTAACTCTCTCTCACTGTCCCTAACATCAGGGCTGGCCCCGACGTGTGCTCAGATTTCCCCCAGTGTTGTGCACACAAACTTCCTCTATTCTCCTGCTCACTGCCACCTATAGCTGCAGAAATCCTTGTCCTCAGGGCCCTGCCCAAGTGCCATCTCCTCCCCAGATCCTTTTCTGACATGGCCCCCATCCCGCCCAAGCTTGGGCCTTTCCTTCTATAAGACCCTGATCACACACTGTCTTGATTAGCATGAGATGTGAACATGTGGTTCCTCCAATGAGCTCCATGGAAGGGGACCTCCTGAAGTTGTACATTTTTAACCAGGAGAAATCCTATAGTTTCTTTTATTCTAGTTGGCAACGCTCAGGACTGCTGCTCTGGGTGGTTTGCAAGTTGACCAACTCCTGGTGGCAACAGGAAATTCTGGTTCCTTTTCGTGACTTAGTTGCATTTGACGAATCCTTGTTGGATTTGATTACACTGGATATCCTTGCTCAAGTTTCTGATCAGCTCTGTTCCCAGAGGTAGGAGATCAGGGCTAGTCCTGACTAGTACATGACTCGCTGCCTGACCTATTGGAGGGATACTCTCGTCTCTCTTCCTGCCGGCTCCTTATGCTCAGACTGCAAACTCCTTGCGGGCAGGGCTCTCGCCTCTGCACCTCGTGGGATCGAGCACAGGACCCAACATGGGGGAGGCACTGGAAAGATTTGCCGGTGTGACCAGCTGAAAAGGACAACTATTACCACCTGCTGACGTGGCAGGACTGTTTCTGAGCATGAAGTGGGGTGCAGGAATTCCAAATTCCTGGAAAAATGTTAAGTGCTCTGCACCTAACTTGACCGTTAGGGTTGCAGGGCCGCTGCATGTGCATCTTGCTGTATGCAAGGGAGCATGGGATTGTCCAGATGCTGCTCAGGAAGAGCTGAGCGTGAACCGTGTTTCCGCCCATCTGCCTGCTGCATGTGGGGCATCTGTCCCCACACCCTCTGATTTGGGATTTCTGACTCAGACCCCTAAGATTCTGGATTCTCTTACCAAGCAGCTGCTTGGTGTAAGGGAGAGAGCGTGAGGTGAATATTTCTCTCACTTAGACCACTTCAGCTGGTCACTCAACCATTCTGTGACTTGGTTTCTTTAGCTGGAAACTGGGAACAAGGAATCCTGCCCTCTTCATCTCAGTTGCGCAGAACACACACACGCACTGGGACACATGTCTATTCAAAGCTCGCCCACGAGAGCTCGTGCGGATATGGACACATGCAGGCTTTCCCCACATGACACTCTTTGCACGTGGAGCTCCCAGGAAGGGCTCATGCCCAGACAGTTTATAAAGCCTTTTCACTGGCAGCACTTCCTCTGTCCCTCAGGCAATCCTGTGGTTTTCAGCGGAAGCTTGCGAATCAGAACCCGGTGAAGTGTGAAGGGGCTGAGTGACTGTCTGAGGCTCTGGGGCTGCCAGCAGAGCCCCAGATGCCACATGTTGTTTGTGACGCCATGTGCTCACCTGGGACCTCTGTAATCTGATGCCGAGTTCACACAGAGAGGGGAACCATGAGGGCCACATCTGGACACCCTCGTGATGTCGGCGCATGGCTGTGTCCCTGCTGGCACAGACTTTCTTGGTCACGTGTGGGCACTATTAGAGCACATGCAATTGGTTTTGCCAAGTTGGCCTGGTTTTTACACGAGGCCCTATGGACTAAGTGGGACCATTGGTTTTCAAGGAAATGTCCCCATTGGCACTCTGCACAGGGAGCATGAGACAACTTACTGTAAGTTGAAGACCTTGACATCCCTTTTCCAGCCACAGAAAATGGGAGGCAGAGAGACCAAGAAGAAGAGAAGGGAGAGAAGAGACAGCCCAGGAAAGGAGTAGGTTGACTGAGAGCGCTGGGGGTGCAGGAGGGTGGCTGTGACCTGGTCCGTACCTCCACCACGTGAGAGGAGAAGCCCGTCTGTGACATCTCCAGTCCGAAGGAAGTTTCGTTCTTGTTGGTGCCTAAGACAGAGGGACAGAAAGAGATCAGTTCCATGGATGGCTTAGTGCCACACACATTTGCAGCTTAATCCACAGCATCGGCTTCCCAGGGGGCACCTTCCAGGAAGTGAGAGGGACGCTGAGTCAGCCCCTCCTTGTCTGCCCCAAGTGGCAGCCACCCTGCAAAGGAGGCACCGAGCACCTTCCAGGGGGTCGTGTGCATGGATTATTAGTGGTCCACTCCCTGCTGCAAAGGGCTTGGGACAACTTATATCATGGGGTATGTCTGCCATAAAATGGTCAGCATCGGGGAAAGGTCAAGAGAAGTGCATGGAGAGAAATAGTTTTGAGCAAGAAATGGAATTTCCTACTTTGTTCATTCCTCTTATTCACCATGTTTGGTTCTAGCTGCCACTGGATGATTCCCAAACATCAAATAGACCCTCTGGAGGGAGACCGTTGCCACCACAGAGGTGCATGGGAAGCCTCCTGTGTGCTGCAAGCCCCTCCCCGCAGAGGGCCTTCAGCTTGTCATCGGAGCCAGTGTTCTTGTCACCCTGGACAATCATTTTGAGGAGAATTACACTGATTTGCATATTTAAGTTCTAGTGTTAGTGTCAAAACTCAGGTTCATACTTTCTATTTATCCTTGTCTACGCGGACTGTGTTTTGTCTCCTGTGTCTGTAGCTCATTGTTTCCGACTCCCTGCAGGCTGCTCCGGCTTTGGGACGCTGCTTTCCACCTCTTGACAATCCTCCCACATGGCAAAGCCCAGTATGGAAAGGGCCCTGTATCGTAATATATGGTGCAAATCTATGGCCAGTCAAAACTGGAACTTCAGTCGAAGGGAGAAAGGCAATCTGAAGGAACCCTGCAAAAAGCTCTTCGGTGGAGTGGGAGGTAGGGATGAAGTGTTTTAGACTCTGGAGTCAGTCCAGCTGGGTTCAAAGTAGGGTTGCCAGAGAAAATCCAGGACACTGTTACTTCATTTCAGAAAAACAACGAATCTTTTTTAGTGTAAGTCTGCCTCAAAGATTGTGTTTTCTATTTGCTAAATCTGGCCACTATCGTTCAAACCCCAGCTCCTTCACAAGGGGTGGGTGTGCTGGCAAGTCACCCAGCTCCTTTGAGCTTCATTTTCCTCCTTGGTAAAAGGAGGAGGCGATCAGCAAAACCATGTCCCGGGGCTGTTCGTAGAGCACACGCAGCTGCATGTCCAGCACAGCTACACTCCAGTGCTGGCGTGTACCGTGAAGGGGGGACTCCTGCGAAACCATTTCCTTCTGCGGGGTTGGATATCACTCCGAGGTCTTTACCTGATGTGACCCCAGGAATATGGACCCCTCTCTATATGAATTGCTCACCTTCCAAGCTGAAGATCCTGTCTCCCAGGGCATCGACAATGTCCTTCAGGGCCGCCTCGTCGGTCACGTTGAAGAAGTGCTTGTCATCTGGATCACTGGCGATGTATTTGATTTCATTTAGAAAAGCTTCTGGATTGATCCCCCTGCGGTTGTAGTAGCCCAGGACCTGCCAGGGAACAGGGCAGGGCGACAAACCAGGACATAGCGCAGACCTACCCGCATACCCACGGCCCCGACCTTGGGCCCCAGGGAGGGCTGGAGTCACTGCTTCGATAGCCATGTGTAGTCCTCAGAGTCCCATTTGCATTTTGAAACAGACAGTTACAGACTGGTGTGGTAGGGGCCAGAGGTAACCCTGTTCTAAGATGGGGCTCTGGGGGTTGGGAGGCTGGAGGGTTTCTAGTTTTCTGAGGTTTCAGAATCTCCCTAGAAGAGAAGAAAAAAGCCCCACGACTATTGTGGATAGGCCTAGGCAGAACAGAAAGAAGGTTCTCAACTTGCTCTTTGGAAGATAAGGCAAGGAGAGGCCCGTCCAGGCAGCTTGCTCACTGTCCAGAAAATGCCCCCCCGGGGACCCCGGGGGTGTGATGGTGGAGCCTCTATAAGATAGCTGGCAGCCTGCGGGCGTGGGCAGGGAGCGGGCAGGACAGGCGGGACAGCACTCACGGCCACGGCGTATCTGGTCACGTTGTCCCTCTCGCTTTCCTGGATCACCTTCTCCAGGTCCGGGCTGTCGTGGGACTCCCCGTCCGTGATGACGATCATCACCTTCTTGGCCCCTTTCCTTCCGCCCTTCTGGAAAGCTTCTGAGCTGAAACCCAAGCGAGGGGGGTGGGGGTCACAAGAGGGACATGGGGATGGGGCAGCCCCTGGTGTCTCCCCAAAGGGGCAGCCGCAGAAGCCCCCTATGCTCTCCTCCAGCAACCCAAAAGGTTTGGGAGCTTCAAACCACAGAAGAAGCGGGGCTGAGACGCCCAGGCCACTCCAATGGATCTCTATCTGCTGGTCTTTAAAAAGTGACTTAAAAAAGGCCCTCTAGCCTCCTGACCATGCTGTTTTGGGCAAATAGAGGGGCTGGGTAAGCCTGGGAGGGGAGCTCAGAGCCAGGTGGAGAACTTCAGAGGCTCTAAGTTGGTGGTCGAAAAACCCAGTTGCACATTAGAATCACCTGGGGAGTTAACTAACTAACTAACTAACTAACTAACTAACTAGTGATGCCTAAACCCTACCCAGACTCTTGAAATCAGAATCTCTGGGTGGGACCTGGTCATCAGTCTCTTTCAAATGCTCTGAAGAACGCAGGCATTGAGAACTGTTTCCCTATGTACTGAAGAGGTGCCGGGTAACTTAACACCCAAACAACATTAATCCATAAAACCCAGTTATGAAGCCTCACAAAGTTCTGATTTCTCCCACGAGGACAACTTGATTCTAATTTGGGAACTATTAAATATCACATTCTATGACAAATATTCCTCCTTCTCACATTTTATTTTGTTTTCAGTGCTGGGAGCAGGCGCTTGGCCTGCCTGTTCGGCAATCCAGCCAGAGGATGGGGTGGGGGTGGGGACTGGCCCACTGACCCCGAAGCGTGGAAAGAATCTTGCAGCTGGAAACCTGTCTGTGAAGCATGGAAAACTGGCTCCTAAGCCATCACTGGCTCTTGGTGCCTCTGTGATCCACCCTCTTTCAGACTGTGAGGTTCTGAGAAGGGCAGAAGTGGTCTGGCCCGAGAGTCTGGCCCAGCAGGTAGAATTTGCCAGTAACGGTATAGAAACAAATGTTACTCTTAGACTCCGCAGTGATTCCTCGTGAGTCGACCCACAGGTTTTAGCTCCATGAGGCTAGGTGAAGCCGGTCTCCAGGCCCCAGGGCTTTGGTTGCCAGAGGTATCTCTTATTACACAGCAAGCTGATGAGCTGATGTGTATGATTTAGAGGTTGAGGATTTCACAAAATTTGAATAAATTAGTTCAGAGCATCTTCAAGCTACCAGTTAACAGACCATCTGCCATTTTCTTGGCAGCTCTTCTGGATATGCTGACTTAAAAAAAACCCTCTCATTTTAGTATGAGCTGTGGACTAGCGGGGGGCAGAGGCATACTCAGTGTGACTGGGGCGGATTTTGGACTTAAGTCTGACTCAGTGGAAGGAGAACGCTGCTAGTTCCTCAAAGGAGAGTCTAGATGCTTCCATGACATCCTTAGAGGGCCAGGCTTGGGAACAAAACCCCATGCAAAAATGTATAATGGGGAAAAGACAGGTTTGATTATATGTGGATTCAGGAACAATTTCAGGATTGTATTTCCACAAGCTGTAGTGGAATAGTGTGAATATCTGTGTCAATCTGTAATAGGGTAAATACTGGCATGAATCATCAGATTTAATATTGTGATTTTTGTATTGTGCAAAGGACTTGGCTTTGCTCCTTTGTAAATCAGATGATAAGTTCCTGGAGAGCAGTGAGAGCTTTATACTCACAACATGTTCTGTGAACCTGGAAGCCAAAGTGATCCTGTGGCAAAATAGGGCAGTCATGTCTCCTTCCTGCTCAAAACCTGCGACGGCTGCCATTTCTCCCAGGCCCTGACACTGGCCCACCGGAGCCTTTATGATCTGGTCCCGTTACCCTTCTGAGCCCCTCCTTCCGTTTGCTCCCCTCCGCCCACACTGGGCTCTTTGCTGGTCCTGGGACCACCGGGAGTGCTCCTATCCTAGTGCCTTTGTCCGAGCTGTCCCCGCTCCTGAAACGCTCCCCCCAGTACTGGCTCGGCCGACTCCCTCCCCTCCCTCAGGTCCCCACTAGAATGTCAGGCCTCAGCGAAGCCTCCCCTGAGGACTCTGTTACTGCCTATTAAATAAATACCTGCCCTCTCCAACGTGCTTGGCTGCCTTTCCCATGCTCTATTTCCCCCCACAGATTTTAGCGCTATTTATTTGTTCCTTTGTGTATTGTCTGCCTCACTCTCTAGAATGTCAGCTCCACAAAGGTGGGACATTTGTCTGTTTTGTTCACTGCTCTAACCCATTGCCTAAAACAGTGTGAGGCATGTAATAGGTGCTCAAAAAAAAGTGTCGTATGAACTAAGGTGGAAACACACCATTTTGTCCCTGCGCCTTCACAGCCCAGCCATATGCGGCTGCCAGACTGACTTTCACGGGCTCATCTCATGATAACACTCTCATTTTCAAGAACTTCAGTGGCCATTCACGCTTGTTTTAGCTACAATATCATTGCCCTCACAATTTGGCTCCAAGACATCTTCACAGCTGTGTGGTTCACCACTGCCCACCATGAACTTCAGCCTGTGGTCAGAGCATGACCGGGGATGTAAACATTCTCTTTCCTAAACTTTCCATCTCCTCTGTCCTTATCAGGGCAGAATGTCTTCCGTGGCATGTCTTCTCTCCACCTCCTCCCGCTGGAATCCTAGGGTCTTCCTAGGACGGGTCAAATGCCACCCATCTTGGCAGGCTCCCCTGACCCCTTTCTCGGATCCCTGCCTCTCTCAGCCTCACTGAGTTAGGCTGACACTTATCAGAGTTTCCCTGTTGGGCTGGTGCCAAGGGTTATCGTCTCTGTAACCCCTCAAGTCCATGGCTTGGACCTTTGCACCTTAGTAGCTGCACAGCAAAAGTGCATCATGAATCAGTGAGTGAGGAGGGAAACCCTTTTACTTTCAGAGGCATTGGCTACGATCTGGGACCCAAACTTAGTGGGTTGGGAAGATCAGATTTCAAATGTCACTTGAGGTGCAGATTGCACACTGCAGCGGTCTGGTCTGCTGTATGAATCATGAATGGTTTAAACTACCTGGTGAGTCACACACTTCCAAATGCCCTGGGGTTGGTGGGCCGTGAAACAGGACCAGAACTGTGGGCTCCTTCCCTGTATGGGGCAGTTAGCCTTACATGGAGGAAGTGATAGCTCCAGAGCCCAGGCTCCCTCTGTTGCCCCAGATATTTTGCAACTGGCTGCTGGGGTTTCAGGAGCTCACCCCAATGATGACCAAACAGAAAAACAGCTTGTTCCTTCTGAGAATGAGCAAGAGCCATTTTCACACAGAGGGATGCTCATTTCGGGAAAAAGCTTGAGCAAGTTTAGTAGCAAAAAGAAATATGTTAGTGGAGCAGTAACCTAATCATAAAGGGTTGTGAGGTTGGAAAAAAAAAATCTTTTGACCACATGAAGTCATGTTACTACGATATAGCTCTAACACTGCAGGATTCTGGTAAACACATTGACTAACCGTATGTGAGGCAGGATTATAAGGAACTGGGGCTGCGGTTTCAATGAACATAGCAGAACTCATATTCATAGGTGTGAAATTTACAATTTAAAATCCAAATGCTGTGGAAACAGTTATCTTAGGAGTTTAGGCCTCAACTTGAAAGATCTTGAGGATGTGCCTTTAAAATCACTCCATTTCAGCGGGGGTGAGCACAATGGTCTGAACAATGGCAACATCCCTGGAATAAAGACGTAGTGCACTCCACTGATGACAAACACTCCACAGGAAGATTCTGTCCTCCCAGAACCTACACACTCTTCACAGTGTCACTGTGGCAGAGCGTATTGTCCAAAGTTGGCTGCAACAGTATTTCCTATCTCAAGGGCTCTTCTGCAGTGTGACTTTGCCAGTCCTCCATCAAGAGGCAGAATCAAGTTTTCTTCCCTTTGAATCTGGGCAGGCTTTAGTGGCTTGCTCAATCAAAGGTATATTCTGGGACCTCCGCACCTAGGTCATGGGCAGCCACACAGTTCCTGTGTCGATCTCTTGGAAAGCTCACTTTTGAGATGCTCCCTCTCAGAGCCTAGCTGCCACATCATGAGAAAACCAAGCTATGTGGCCATGTGTGGGTGCTCAGGTCACCAGCCGCAGCTGGGTTCCCAGCCAACAGCCAGGAGCAACTGCTAGTCACATTGGTATGCCATTTTGGATGTCCAGTCTAGTTGAACCTTCAGATGACAATAGCCCCAGCTCACACTGAACTTCAACCACATGAGAAAAATCCAAGAGAGAACAGGCTGAGCCCAGCCAATTCCCAGAAATTTGAGGGATGAATAAACTATTGTCTTGAGGTACAAATTTTGCGGGGGTTTGTTACACAGCAATATATAACCAGAATGATATCTAAGATTTAAAAAAATTAAAAAATTTTTTTCCTTTTTTTACCGAGCAAATTCAATGCCAAATGCCGTCCGGGTCTCTGTTCCTCCTCTCTGCTCAATGTGGCTGGCGGCTTCTACCACGTCTTTCACAGACTTGTAGTCATTGAGGTGGAATTCATGGACCGCGTCTTCTCCGTACTGAACAACGCCAACCTGCAAGTTAGAGGAGAGGGCATCAGAACTCCTGGAACTCCTGACCCCTGAAACTTAGACCTTTGGTGGTAAGGCTCCCTGGAGTCATTTTATGCCTGTGACTGTTCAGGAGCGAGGAGGGTGGGGGATCTCCCCAAGCTGAGGGGAAGCAGGTTCTGCAAAGTTCTGGGAATAAATGGATGGCTTGGTGAGATGAATGGGAGGTGCATTTTGCGGAAGAGACTGTGGTTTAAAAAAAGCCCAACAAGTCAAGTTCCTTCGTAAAAAGACAAAAGTTGAGAATAGAATTGAAGTCTAGAATATTAGGAAGAGAATGGATGGAGGTCATGGCTTTCAAAACTCTGGAACTAAGGTTCCTTAAAACTTCGAAGAGGAAAGATCCTTTTATCCCTAAGGTTGACATCTTGACAATATTAATAGCATTAAAGTGCAGTAGGGTTAGAATGATAACACGTTACCATTGGGTGGGCCCAGGGTTTATCTGGTACACATGCATTACAACTGCTGGACTTTCACCCATGATACCCTAAAAGATCATCTTTCAGTGCTGGGGAACTCATTACTTCATAGGATAGTTCTCTCCCTTTTTAACAGCTCTGATCATTGCAAAATGATTTCTTAGATTGATTCGAAGTCTGCCACCTTGGCTTCTAGCCATCAATCTGCCAAAACAATATGGAATAAATACACTCCCTTTAGCCAGGCAGTGTTTCAGTATGTGCTGGCAGCTATGACCTCCTTCCTAGTCTTCTCTCGGAGGTCAGTGTGTCTAATTCTCCTCTGTGCCTCACCCAACATTTCCCACCTTCCTTCTCACTCTGTATCTGGTTAAACTCTTTCCTAATAGGTGGTGACTATCCCAGCATTTGACCTGGGAAGTGAGGTCTCCCCCAAACTCTCCCTTGATGAGCTCGGCAGAGATGGGTGTCCTGGGCTGCGGGGCCCTCGTGCTGGCCCTTTCACTTACACCTTCTTAGCTCATGCAAAGATGCTCTCTTTACCTCCCAAAGCAGCATCCGCCATGGGGTTGGGGGGCTCTGTTTGGAGGAGGAAAGAGCCCCAGAGATGCTCACCTGGATCTGCCCAGGGCCGATATAAAACTTCTTCAGGATGTTGATGAGGAAGTGCTGAACCTCCAACCAGGGGTAGATGCTGTTGGAGCCATCCAGGACAATGACGATGTCCATGTAGGTGTGGCACCCTGGGAAGTTGGGGACATGGTCACCGCTACCCAAGGAGCCAGTGTCTGCAAGTTTCTGATTCTCCAGATGATTGTCCAAAGGACAATAGAAGAAGGACCCTGTTACATGTGTGTAACTACACGTGTATAATTCCCTGGGCTGGGGAGCTCTTGTTGGGCAGGAAGTTTATATGGGCAACGTGAATGACAAGGCCAGGAATTCCTGCCTCTGCTCCATCACTCAGTGCTGGCTGTTTGAACAAAGCTTAATTACACCCAACTGCCTCTTCTCCCCAGGGACGGACCACCGTCAGTGGGTCAATGTTTCTGAGGCAGCCAACACTGTCCAAAAGCAGTACTTGGTTATCATTTGTTATACTGTAATGTGCAGACTGGCATTTACAACTCTCAGCCCGAGTGAATGGGTTTCACTTTTTAGGAGGGTGGTATGGTGTAGTGGTTAGTAATGTGGAATCTGTTTGACTCCTGGCTTTGAACTTGGGCAAGTCATTTAACATCTTGGCATCAGTTTCCCCTTCTGAAAAATAGGCATAATGATAGTAGAGGATTGTCATGAAGAATAACGAGATGATGATGCTTCTGAAGGGCTGAACACCAAGTAAGTGCTCAAGCAGACTTAGCTGATAATCTTTTTCTTTAAAAGCAAACCACTTTGTTGATGTGGCAATTGCATCATGGGCCAGGCTCTCATGCTTGTGGCTCTGCTCCAAGCATAAAGGTTTCTCTATATTTTTGTAATATTAATACGAAATTAAAATGAATAATAAAAACCAACAAAAAATCCAATGAAACATTGGTTAAGTAAATAAATGTAAAAAACTTTTAAAATGTAAGTAATTTATATCTGTTTGTGAGGCGTTGGGGTTACTTTGAAATAAGACACGGTATGATACAACATGATATAATATGTATTATACTATACCATATTGAAATATTGGGCATCTCCTTATTTTTATTTAAAATCTACTTTACAGCAATACGGATGGCAGGAAGCTTTTGTGTGTGAACGAACATTCCAGCAACACTTGCGTCATAAAGGTACATTATGTTGCAGTCAGTGTTCCCCAGAGAAAGGAAGGGGGTGGCTTTGAGCCTTGGTGCCCATTGCCTTGTGTCTGGAGGGCATTTTAGAAGCATTTGGGTGGTCTGAATGCTCAGAGTCACCTCTGTTTTAGGAGAAGTTGTGAGACATTTTTGTCCCATCTGCATGGGATTGTACAGCATGTGATGGCGTGACACTTCTGGCTGACAGCACCTGATTGCTTTGTTTCTTCCCAGTCCGGTTTAGCTCAGCCCCTCGGACTGAGCACCTGCCGTGTGCTGGAGCGCCCTGTGACGGGGCGGCCACAGGGGTGACTGGGACAGCAACGCCTTCCTCAGGAGCCAGTGGTAGGGGCCAGGTTTCTTTGATTTTTAAACAAGTTTTTATTATTAAATGCCTTTATTATGCTGATTTTTCTTTACAGTTTCAAATTTTTCTTTTTAAGATACCTTGGGAATTATGATAAGTGAAATAAGTCAGACAGAGAAATATAGGTACCATATGATTTCACTTATATGTGGAATCTGAAAAACAAAATAAATGAACGAACAAAACAGAAACAAACTCATAGATACAGAGACAAACAAACTCAGGTTGGGGAGCTGGGTGAAAAAGGCGAGGGGATAAAGAAGTACAAATTGGCAGTTACAAAACAGTCATGGGGATGGAATGAACAACATAAGGAGTAGTCAATAATATTGTAATAACTGTGTGGTATCAGGAGATTACCAGGCTTATCTGGAGGATAACTTTGTAAGTTATATAAATGGCCAACCACTATGCTGTACACCTGAAACCAACATAATATTGAATATCAACTGTAATTGAAAAACATTTTTTAAATTAAAAATAAAATTAGATACCTTGGGAAGAATCTTGCTTTAGGTCTGTGGTTCCTAAACATGGCTGAACACTCCACTGAATCTCTCTCTCTCTCTCTCTCTCTCTCTCTCTCTCTCTCTCTCTCTGTCTGTCTCTCCCCACCCTATCTCTCTGGGGCTAATCTCAGACATGCTGAGTTCAAACCTCCCCGCGGGGCTGGGGGATGCTCTGAGCTCTGTATCTGATAAACTCCCAGGGCTCTGCTGACGGTCAGGTAGGTGGGAGGCCTCCACCGCAGGAGGTTCTGGAGGCTGAGACTGTCACCCCTAGGCCAGAGGAAATAGCGGTCCTGGAGGAGGGGGTGGTATTCCTTTAGGCACACCTCAAGACCTTGAGCCCCCTCCTGAGCTTCGGCACTGCCCTTCCCTCTGCTGTTTTGTGAGGTTAGAATCAATGCCTTCTCATCGTCCTAAAACGACCACTTTCCAGCCCCCTGGTGCAACCATCTTTCCATCCCTGACTGGGCCCTCTTGTTTAGAGGGAGGCTGCAGTTAGCCAGAGGCGCTAATCCCCTCGCCCTCAATAAAACGGGCAGCAGCTGTTTGGGTAATGGTATTTAGACCGGAGGAAATAGTGAGGCTCAGAGCCAAGCAGTCTGGGCTTGCAGGAGGCAAAGTCTGAGCATTATTTCCCAGATTTTCCTGGCGGGTGGGGAGTGAGTGGGAGGTTCACTGTTCCATGAGGCTCTGGGAAAACTGAGCAGAACTTCCTGAGGTCCAGGGACACTGGTTCAATGGGACTATTACCTCGAATCTTTCTGTTCTCCTTGGTCTTCCACCTACAGCGTGACTCAACTATATAACATCAAAGGGCACCATTCACATTGTAGTCTAAGTGAGTGATGTCCCCAGAACTGTGCAGTACGCAGCTTGCCTGCTGGACACGGTCGCCCAACAACTTCTTCCTCACTCAGGTTGGGTTTGCAGTGAGCTTCCCTGGCTACCAGGATTGCCTTCATACCTTTAGGTCATTTGCCTCCTACCATCACTCTGTGGGGGAGGGTGGGCCTACATTACGACCCCACAGAGGCCCAGAGAGGTCAACTGGGTTACCCACAGAGACAGAGCAGGGTGGAATGAGAGTCCAAGTGCTGCTTTGTAGCTGCAGGGTAGCAGGGATCAGAGCTCTGAGCCTCCTGTGGACTGTCGGCTGCTCAGGCTGAATCTGCAGATTTGAAACCACTTACTTTGGAGAGCTGGGGCCACAGTCTTGGAGAATCGGAAGTTGGAGTTGACTCGCGAACACATCCCTGTCGTGTAGTAGGAGCTCCCACACTCGTGAGACCAGAGGGGGCTGCAGGCCTGGAGATCGTAGCACAGACCCCCAGTCAGTGGGGGCCCTCAGGGTGGGCCCAGGCCCACTAGCCTTTGGCCCAGCCCCAACCTCCGTCACCCAAGACAGGTATCCTCTGAGTATTGTTATCCTCCAGCTTTAGACGATCTTCTCTGAATACCTAAACTCTCTTGCTGCCATTTCCCTTGGTTTCGGGGTGATTAGAGAAAAATGGATTTTAGTGTGCTCCTTTTTTTCTGTTTGCAAGGGTCTCATTCTCCATTTCACCATCTAGGGTTGGTTTTCTTCTTCACCCTACCTGCCCACCCACCTCCCACACAGGAGAGTTCATCCATGGGAATAGGCTCTCTGTCTGAACACATTACCTGAAGGTCCTTACTGGGCACACTTCCAGGACTTGGTCCTGACAACATGCCCCTGGCTTTTACGAGGGGAAGAAAAAAGACTGAATGATGAGTTCCTCTCAGAGTCACAGTCATTAAATTAAAACGAAAGCCCAGCTCCATGTCTCAATTTTTCCCCTGCTGCTGGGAAACCCAGGACTGAATTTTATGCTGTAGTTTCCTTTGGTTTGGAGGAGTAATTATTCCACTTCCAACCTCTTTATTTAATTAGTTTTCTATTTTTACTCAGATTTTAAAGGTTTAATTTTATCGACATCCTTTGTTGAAATGGCTGGAAACTATTTTTGGAAGTAAGGGGAGGATAAAGAATGAGAGGGTGGATGATGGGTGATAAATGGATAGATGGATGGATGGATGAGCGGATGATGGATGAAGCGTGATGATGGATGGCTTGACAGATGGATGGATGGGTGAATGGGTGGATAAAACGGCGATGGATGTATGGATGGATGATTAGATGAGAGGATGGGGGGATGGATACTTACCCAGGTGGATGAGTGGATGAATGAATGAATGGATGGATGGATGAATGGAGAGGTAAATGGAGAGATGGACAATTGGTTGGAGGAAGGACTGATGAGTGGATGGATGAAAGGATGAGTTAGTGAGTTAACAAAAGTTGCTATTTTATACTAGGGACTTAACATACCCACAAAAGCCCAAGATGGTCCACCACACCGTCCTTCTTGGGCCTTCATCCCACCATGTGAAGTAGGTGAAATCGAGTTAGTAAGAATGTGACAAGGAGCCTCAGAGGGAGCAAAGGCCCTGACACATATGCGTGTGGGCTGAGCCAGAGGTCCTGCTGCCCTTGGCTGGAGACGATGAAGGGCTGTGGGCTGACCACACAACGAGCCCTCAGGACTTTCGCCAGCGGAGCCACTATGCTCTCCTCAAGTCCCTGGGCACCCTAACCATCCCGTTGCTCTCGTGTCTAGTGCTCCGTGCCCCAGATGTCTCATCTGTCAATAGACATGGACCAACAGACGAGAACAAAGAATGACACATGCCCTCCCATCTTAACATGAGCAGTACATTATAGCAGGCTTTCTGGGGTAATTTTTTTTTTTTTCTGAAATCTTCTCTTGCAGCTGTTTCTCAGAATAAATCTCAGGAGGATCTTGTTTTGAACCCCTAGTTTCACCCAGAGCCATGGTGGTTCACCAGACCGTGGTGCCAAGGAGCAGGCAGTTCCTGTTTATCCCTCCACATGCACATGCCTACTGCATGCAAAGCCTGTGTATGCTCACCTGGGCAGGTGAGAGACCTCCAAGCATGACTTGCGGCTGCCTGTCTGTCCCAACATCATGTTTACATCACTCATTTGCTTACTGTCGACCCCCAAAACCAGAATGTAAGCTGCAGGGGGCGGCAGCTCTGCTGACTGCTGAATCCCCAGCGCCTGGCATCGGGCCCAGGAGATTGCGAGTGCTCAAAATAGTTGTCATTAAAATGAACGAATATCTCTATTACCTCAGTCCAAGTACCCTCTCCTCTTTCTTCATTGCTAAAGCCTGTTTATTCTTTAAAAACAAAACAGCAACCCCCGCTGGGAAGCCTCCACGTAGGCCTGTGCAGTCCAGGTGGTCCGTCACTCTGCAGCCCTTCCCTTGGTGGTAGTAAATCAGCGTTCACTCATTTTTGGCTTCCCTTCGAAGTCCCTTAGGGTGCGTGGTGTGTCCTATTTCTTTGATCAAACCTGGACAGAGATTCTGCCTCTGCCTTGGACATTTGGCTCCCCAGAGGAAGGGACAGTCCCCCATCGGACTGTTGGCCTTTATTTATTCCTGTTCCTTTTCAGGCTGCCAGTCCCCTACCCTTGGGGTGTGTGCACAAAAGAGCTCAATACTTTTTCTTGCCCGGATTGTAGCCCCATTCCTGAAGTTGGGGGCACAGCAGGAAGCTAGTGGAGGACCTGCCCTCCGGGTGAGCGGATGGGCAGCCTGGTGGGTAGCATGCAGAGCGTGCGTGAAGACACACTCAGTCGCTGCGTGCCTCTCCTGGTCCTGAGAGGAGGATCTCTGGGGCAGGAGGGCATGGTGCTTGGAGAGAGGGTGGGGCGGGTGTCTCTTACCAAGAAGCTGTTGTCCTTGGGGTTGGTGGCCAGGCTCAGGCCGAGGCGCATGTTGTCCTTCCGCTCGGACACGTTGGACAGGGTGACCCTTCCTGAGGTGGGAGGGAGAAGCTCAGCCTGAAGCCCCTGCTGCCCGCCCCTCACCAGAGTCTCCTGCTGCTGCTGCTGGCCACCAGAGGTGCCTGTGGCAGGGTTGGTGCCAAGCAGAGTCCTCCCCAACTCTCCTTGCACATTGGTGCAGACCTTCACAGTTTACTAAGTCATCGCCCAGACATGGTCTAGTTATTTCCTCTCAACTCCCTTGAGATGAGGAAGATGGGTCTCAGAGAGGCCAAGCAACCTGCCCAGAGTCACACAGGAAGCATGTGGCAGAGCTTTCCATCTCCTTGTTCAGAGATTTTCCTCCTCCGGCCCCCTGATGGACCCCAACACTCCCCTTGTGTCCCATCCGACACATACCAGGCATCCTTCGTGGCCTGCCTTTCTTTGGGCAGTGCCACCTCCACATGTTTCTTCGTGCCAGCCTGCCACCAAAACTTACCCGCCCCCTGCCCTGATCTCTCAGGGCCAGGCGCTCTGCTATCCTGATAAGCTGATGCACGACACCTGATTCCCCCTCTCAGGTAGCACATGGCCAAATGACAAGAGCCTTCTAGAGGCACAAAGTCTTGCCAGGAAGGTCATTCTGTGGTTACTGCCATGAAAGGTACCAAAGAGAAGGATTATCAGTCAACTGGAGGTAGGGAGAGGGTGGTGGCAGTTTAGAGTTACTCAAAAAATTATTTCGGTTAAGATTTTACTAGATCATTCTGTCAGGCCCCCGAAGCAAAGGAAGTGAGCTTGAACTCCCTAGACACGTGTTGGTATGTAAGTGTATATGCATGTGTGTGTACATGTGTGAGTGCACGCATGGGTATGGGCACATGGAGGGAGGGTTTAGGGTGAAGCAATCGGGCACTTTGTGGAGCCCAGAGCAGGCCGATCCTCCTCTGCTGTGAGGAGGACCTAGTGTCTTCTCTGCTGGGAGAAGGAGCGTGATCTCTCGGGACCCTGCCTTCTGGGCAGGGGCCAGCAGGGCCTGGGGCGGGCAGCAGCAGAGGCCAGGGCCGCGGCCGCCTGGCTCTACGGGGCTGGGGGCGGGCAGCTGTGTTTGTTGTTGTTTCCCTTTGGGCTCCCTCAGTTTGCAGTCAGGCTCCTTTTGAAATCTAGCCCCTCTTGGCTGTGCTGTGACTGAGGTGGCTTTCTGCTTTGCCTATCCAAAGAAACCAGAGAGAAAATAGTAATAATGACCCCAAGTTTTTAAAAAATCATTTCTTATTATTTACAAAGTACCATCCACGCGTGCTCTCCCAGGACACCCTCTTGGTCCTGTGAGGCCCAGGAGTCACTGTCTCCATTTTACAGATGAGAAAAATCAAGGTGCTGAAAGGGTTAGTGACTTCTACAAAGGCAATCGCTGGAAAAAGGTAGAGTGGGGACTTGAACCCAGGACATCTAAGGTTACGTCCTCAGTCTCCCATCTGATGGCAGGGCTGTGGTGGCTTTGGGATGGCAGTGAGAAATATGGAGAGGAAGATCCAAGCCTCAATTGGGCAACGTGCACACCTCAGTGGCTTGAAGAATTCTGCCCTCCATTTATTTAAGGGGCATGTCCCTTCCCCCAACTCCCCCTCTCTATCTCCTTTGTCTCAGTAACTGAAGTCCTTAGAAACTGGGCCTGCAAGGAAGCAGATGGGCATGGTAGGGAAGACCGTGTGTTGGAGTAAGAAAGACTTACTCCAGTCTTTCTAAGTTCGAGTCCTGCTTCTGCTTATGCATTTGGGGCAGTCACTAACCTCTGCTCTGTGACCAGGAGAGACTAACACCTTTCTCAGTGGGTCTCTGTGAGGATCTGGGACCTGGCTTCATGCAGGTGTGGGGAAGAAAGTACCGTCTGTGGAGTCTTTCATACTGAGGTGTGAATGACTGACACCCCTAAGCCTTCCCTGGAGAGAGAGGAAAGAACATTCCTGGCTTGGCAGGGCTCAGCGCCTGGAAAGGCCGTAGGAAAACCCAGGGCTCCAGTTTCCCTGCCTTGCATTTTCCAATGTGGGATAAACCGACAGATGGTCTTCCTGCTGTGCATTTTCTCCGGCATGGTAGGGAAAGAACACTCCTGAGATGAAGCACTTTTCCTCTGCCCTGACTCACTTTGCTGCTCAGCTTATGTCCCGGTGCAGGAATGTTTTCCAGGGTCTGGTGGCTTCTCACTTCTGGCAGGGGCTCCTCCTTCGCAGGGGAATTGGGTCCACATTGGAAACCAGAGCACCAGAGGAAACTAAATGATTGGTTCATGCATCTGCATCCCCACCTGGACCAGGAGCATCTCTCGGTGTCCTGGGCCCCAAGCCCAGGGCCCACACTTCCCATCAGCCCCCTGGCTCCCTCTGCCCCCATCATACAGCCATTCTTTCTGTTTTTCAATGGAACAAGATTATTCCCGCCTCAGGGCCTTTGCACTTGCTCTTCCTCTGCCAGGAATGCTCTGGTCCCACCTGCCTACTTTTCACCATCAGACCTTTACTCAAATGTTCTCTGCTCAGAGAGGCCTGTCTGAGCACCTTGCTAAGGTAAAACCCCCTCCCCACCTCCTCCCCACCCAGTCTATCTTATCATATAGCCCCCGGTTTATCACACAGCATTTATCTTGTCTCTACCTGAGCTTATCCTTCTTTCTGGTTTGTCTACTCACTATTGTCTCCTCCCAGTGGGGCCTATTGCATCTTATTCTCTACTATATCCCCAGTACCCAGCATTGTGTTTAGCATATTCCAGGTGCTCATTTAAGTTTGGGGGACACATTAGCCTGGAATGGATCCTAGGGTCATCGGTCATACCCTGTCCACTTTACACATGGGCAAATGAAGACTGAGAGAGCGGTGTGAGCTCCCTATGAACACACAATGAAGAAACTACACAGTGGGAAGGAAAAACGCAGCTTGGCCTGTTTTGGAAGCTGAGCTTCAGAGTAGCGATGACTGGGATCCATGAGCCACCAGCCAGGCCCCCACCTCCCCTAAGCTGTTTTCCTGAAGTCTGGGCCTCGGCTGTACTTGGGTTTGAACTTCCCACCCGTGGTGCTGATGCAGATATGAACAGCAGGAGCATCCAGCACAATGTGATGGGAGAGCGGCCGCCTCTGACATCTGAGTTCTTTGGGCTTTCTCTTTGATGCGGGCCTTTTCATCATCTGCTCGTTCCTGAAGCTCTGCCATCTTCCCACCTCCCCAGGGAGCCCCAACTGACTGCTCTAGGGTAGAGGCTCCCCTCCTGGAAGAGAAGGAGGCTGAGGCTCCTGGCCCTGGGGCAGGCCAGTCCTTTAGGACATGGCCTGGGATTGTGGCTTTTCAGCCCAAATGGAACTTTTGCTCCCCTCTGTGAGCAAAAGGGTGGCCTGGCCGTTGTCTGACTTTAGGACAAAGTGGAAGTGCTCTAGAGGACCGGCGTGTGTGTTTATGAATGCACACGTCCACACACACACAGAGCAGATTTTACAAGAGCTCGAAGGCCTCGAGGCTGCTCATAGCAACTCTTAGGGCTGAAAGGTCTTCAGTGAGGAACAAAGCCTTCATTTCAGAAGGGCAGTGTTATGTCGTTGCGGCTAAAGGGTGGCCGTCGACTGGCTGGATTGAAATCCAAGCCTTGCTGCTTGTTAGCTGGGCGACCCCAGGCAGGCCCCCCAACCGCCACATGCAGTCATTTCCTCCATTGTTTAATGGTTAAATTTCATAGGTTGTTGTGGGGATTAATGAGTCAGAACACCTAAAAGTGCTTAAACCAGTGCCTGACACGGAGTGAACGTTACGTAAGATGTGTGAATGCCAGCTGCTGTCGTTAGGACCTCTGAACCAGAAGGAAGACAGGAAGTGTTTTCCTCCTGCGGGGAGGGGGCAGTGGAGGAGTCAGTGCCCTGAGACACTGGACGCCTGGGTCTGATTCCTGGCCCACCTCTCACAAGCTGTGTGACTGCGGAAAAGTTGCTTCCCCTCTCTGGCCTCAGCATCCTCATCCATAAGATGGCACAGTGATACCAGCTGGTCACCTCTGGGGCAGCTGGGTGAGCCTGTGTGACTCTGTATTTTAGAGCCTGTTCCACCCTAGACAATGATTGGCCTCTTGGTGGAGGGATCAGAGGCCCGAGTTACCTAGATTGAGTTTGGTGCAGTTCCCATGGGTCACTGGACACTTGTACACGTCTCCCGTCTTCTGGTGGCTGTTGGTTTCCAATGGAGCACCCACGACGAGCCTGGGGAGGGAGGGAGGACAAGTGAAGATGCTGGGGGAGGTGGTCCCTCCTGGTAAAGGCTGGAACCTGGAGGGCAGTGATGGGGGAAGGTCAGGTAAGGGGGGAACCCGGCAGGAGCTGCCACATGCAGACCTTCAGACTCAGACCTTTGTCTCTCTGCAGGGGGGATGCTGGGCTTTCAGCATAAAGTCACGGGGCCTGAGGCCTACTCCAAGCCCTTTCCAAGATGAGGAGATAGGAAGATGAAGACCACGTGGGCCCAACCACCAATGGGGTGGAGGCAGCCCCTGAGAGAAGAGAGCAGGGCACACATCACGGAGGAGATGATGCTTAAGCTGGGTCTTAACAGTTGAATATGAGTGTGTCCAATGGTGGGAGAGTGGTAATGGTGGCCCTCCGGGCAGAAGACTAATTTTGGAACTACGGAATCTTAGCCCTCTCTCACTGTCGGCAGGGGCCTCATTTTTCACCTTATATGAGCTTCTCAGCTAGTGACTCAGATTTGGGTCATGGTGCTCAATGGTCATGGCTGTCCCCTGAGCCACTAAGTCTTGGCTCAGGGAGGGCCAGGCCGCCAGCAGGGCTTAAGAATGCCAGAGGCAGCCAATCCTCAGGGACCGCCTGTCTACTCTGTCAGTGCCACCTGCTTTAGGCACATCTAGGCTTTAGGTGCCAGTCTAACTCTCAGCCAGCAACTGCCACCTCTGTTCGGGCCCTGGTGCTCATAGTGACTCAAGAATGGAACACTCCCAGGACAGCTGTGCTGGAATAGCAGAAGGTGCCACACCTCACATGGCTCTGAGAGGTCTCCCAGATTCAGCGGGCCAGAGAATAGAGGATGAGGGAGGTTGGGGCACAGGTACAGGTGAGATACCGCCAGGCAGTGTGGCCCAGAAAGAAGCCGTCACTCGTCTTCTGACTTAAGAGGGTTGAGAGAGGACAAGCCTGGAGGTTTAGGCTACATGGGACTTTGGTGGCTTCTTGCAGTCAAAGCCCCCAGCCCCCACTCCCACCCTCTCTGTGCTGTCAGGAAAGAAAGTGAGGCCTGAAGTGGGAGTTAATAGAGCTCTGTTTGAAATTAAGAGTCTATGAAATAAGAGCTGAGGTTTCTCCCCTGGGGACCAGATAATGACAGATTCTAAATATATTGCTTATTAAGCATGCCTTTTTTGACTGGCAGAAATTAATTGGACTCATAAAAATCTGTTTGTCTAGACTATGTGATTTTTGGCTACTTAATTCTGCTAGGGATTGTGTGGTCAAGTCCACTCCATTTTTTTTCCAGCCAGAGAGAGAGAGAGAGAGAGAAAGAGAAAGAGAGAGATATCAGTGTGTGAGGCTTAGGCTCCAAGCTTGCTTTTCTGGCTGCTCTGGTTTTCAAAGCCCACCTGATACATAACCAAGTTTTCCAGAGGAATGTTCCCTCCCAGAACCCCTGCCTGACAGGGAGTTCTTTCAGGACAGAGTACCTTCGAGGAATAGCTTGCAGGTGCCTCTGGGAGAAGAAGAAACTGCAGGTTCTAGATTAGAAAAATCATGGCCATCTTCTAGAATAGCTACCCTCATGTGTCTTCTAGAAAACGCTCCAGCAACCTGACCAGGTGGACTCCTCACGTTTCTTCCCATTTTATAGGTCAGGACTCTGAGGCCCCACGACCTGTTTGGAGGGGTCCCCGACACAGGGTGGGATTTTTGGGCTGAGAATCCAGAGGCTGGGTCTTCATCCCGATAGGATTCAGCCTTCGGCTGATAGGATTAGGCAATTCCTGGACTGCCTACCTCTCAGGGGCACTGTGGAAAGTCAGAGATGTCAAAAGACATGGAGAAACAGAAGGGCTTGGATCAAAGTTAAGTTATTCACAAAGACTGGTGGCTTCCCTAGAAGACATGTGTCCTGGTAATGGCCAACATGCTACATTCCAGCAGTAAGTCCACCGAGTCTTGGTAACCTCCGAGTGTGCTACGAGACTGGGCTTTGTCCTTTACAAAGAACCACAGCCGTCGCCTACATCCCACTTCCATTCTCCCAGGCCTGATCTCTCTGGGTGTCTGTGGCACTACAGGACGTAGCCGGACAGCTTACTGTCCCCATATTACAGATGCAGAAACTGTGGCCCTGAGGGGGGACTGACCCAGGTCCCACAGTCTGTGGTAGAGAGCTGGGACTTGTTCACCTGGGACAGCTTTCTTTGTGTTGCCCCAAATATGCCTTCGCCACGAAGGGAGGACCTGGGTCATTCTTGAGTGTCGGCATTACGTGTGCCTGTCGGGCTTGAGGTTTTGAGGATATGATTCAGTCTCGCTGCGAGGGGAGAACTGCCTAAGCACAGGGAAAATGTTTGCATCACCACCGAGACCCGCCAAATTACTCCTGGGGTCTGGCAGCCCCTGCCACCTCCTGCGGCCTCAGCCTTATATAGCCGTCTACAGCTTCAGGGCCTGCTGTGCTTCTTGGGGACTGGATACCCTATACCCTCTGGCGTGGGTACCAGCACGGCATGGCAAACCCCGAAGGTCGTGGCGAGCATCGGGCCCTTTCCGTGGGCCGTGTGCCAAGACTCCCGGGCTGTGGGCTCCCGGCGTTCTTCCCGTGGAGGCGCGGGGATCGGGGCTGCTGTGGATGGCAGGGTTGGTGGCAGGCTTCAGCCACAGCCCTGTGGGACTCCCCGACCCCGTCGGGTGCCTGCCCTTTAAATGCGGCCTGGGTAGGGAAGGGGGCTCACTGTGGTATTGGTCACCTGAGGAAGGCAAGACATGGCCCCGCTGGGCCCAGGGTTTCCTGACTCCCAGCAGGACACGGGCTAAGAGAAGGAGTTTATGGTTCCCTGTCTCACACCCTCTCCAACGGCCCATGGGGACTCATCCTGACTTTTGCTTATCCTAGGCTCCACGCTTCAAAGCAATTCTAGTCTCTGAACTTTTATTTTACTTTGCTTTATTTTATTTTATTTTTTCACCCTGGTTAGTCTCTGAACCTTTTAAAGTGTACACTCTTATAAGAAAAAAAGGTAATAGGTACTTCCAACGTGTATAAATTTTTATGTTAATGAAACCAGTGTACAGCCATCAATCTGTGTATTAAATATCTATAATCCTGTTTTCTCAAATAAAATGTAAACCTAAAAAGAGCTTGAATCATTTTGTTTCTATGCCCCAGCATTATGTTTTGCACATCCTCTGTGGTATGCACACTGTACCCTGGAGATCATCCGTTTAAGATCCAGCAGAAATTCACACCTGCTTCAGGAAGCCCTCCCTGATTACCCCAGTCTTTTCCACATAAACCAGCATCTAATCCCTGCTGTCTGTTGTGGCCACTGTTTTAATGTCATCTTTCCTTGCAGGCTAAGATGTTTTCGTGCGCCCTGCTGTGCTAGCGTAGGGTGATCTGGAAGGCCCTTGGAAAGAGGTACCCACTGGCTACTCTGACCTCCTCTCCGACTAACAGTCTACAGCAGCAGCCTCCGGAACTTTCGGCTTTGCCTCGGGCCTAACAGGGGCCTCCAGATTCAGTGCCTGGAAAAGGGTTGCTCAGAAATTGAGTATTTTTCTTGTGTAGAGGTGCATACAGTGACCCAGCTTCCATTAGAGTCAGTATTGCTGCCCTGACCAGTGTGGCTCAGTTTGTTGGGTGTCGTCCTGCAAAGCAAAAGGTTGCCAGTTTGATTCCTGGTCAAGGCACATGCTTGGGTTGCAGGTTCAGTCCCTGATTGGGGAGCGTGCAGAGGCAACTGATAGATGTTTTTCTCCCTCCTTGTTTCTGTCCCTTCCCCTCTCTCTAAAAATAAATGAATAAGCAAATAAAATCTTTAAAGCCAATGTTGCTTGCTTCTCTGGTTTCCACTTCCCTCTTCTCAACAGTCCTCATTTCTGTATGGGGACCCAGAGGACCTGGCTGGCTCCGTTCCCAGTCCTAGGGATAAAGCGCCTACCTCAGTCTAGTCCCGTTTATCCCCTGGCTGTAGTTATTGAGTCAGGGTGGGCAAATGACTTTAGTCACCCCAATCAGAATGAATCTGAGGACTTCTGCTTGGGACTCAGGAACCAAAGTAGTTCTTATCCTCAGGATATCGTAGTATGTAGATGCAAGCCCTGGAACTGCTGACAACGACCTTGTGACAATGAGAGGCGTGAGCTGACACATGGGGGATGGTGGTGTGGCTGAGAGCAGCATCAAGAGGAGGAGCTGAAGTCCTGATGATGCTGTGAACCCCTAGATCAAACTATACCTGAAGCCTGAAGCCTGACTCTGCTGATATATAAGCAATAACTACTTTTTACTGTATAGGCCTGGTTGGGTTGAGTTTTCAGGTATTTATGACTGACAACATACTAACTAGAATGTGCAAGGCAAAAAAATAAAAGGAGCACATAGTTAAATCACTCTTAGAAATTCCATATATTACCATGCAATAGGAGGAACATGGCATCCAAGACCAATGAGAGAGAAGCAGGTTCATATCCCCCAGCTCTTACTCCATCTGGGCATATATTTCCTGCTTATGTGGTGGGTGGGCTCTTAGGTACCGCACACGCTATTTTTCTCTGGTTAACTGCATGTGCAGAACTGTCCACTGGCCCAGCCTTTTGGCCCATCCTTTTGTTTGCTGTGTCTCCCATTTACAACAGACACTTGGATAGGGAGCTCTGCACTCCGGAAGTTTCTGGTTACCTGGTAACTGGCCCTGCAGACGGAGCTGGGCAGAAATGTGGTGGTTCCTTGGACTAGCTGCATTGTGGACCAACGAGGCACTGAAGACCTGAAGCAGGGAGGGCTGTGTCTGAGGTCTTAGAGCAGATGGTGACAGAGCTGGACTGATGCACAGTGACCTGATTCCCAGGGCAGTGCTCGCCCAAGCAGGGCTGGGGGCCGGGGGATCTAGGCCCAGCTTGGCCTGTTACTGGGGAGGCAGGTGTGAACCACTTAGTTTCCCAGCAGATGGGGTGAGCAGATGCTACGGGCAGAAAAAAGCCACAGGATGCTTGGGGAAGGAAGAAGG